ATTAAATGAAATACATTTTACATAACCACTAGTTTTCAAGTTAATTTAACATCTGTTTAACCTTTCAATGTCTTAACAGATTATTTAAAATATTTATAGTCTGTACTGAAATTATAGGTATATATACTTCTTCTTCTACCTGGCAATTTCCCAGCCTTAGCCAGGGTCTGCCTTTTATGTTGTGAATAGTTTTGGCTAATTGTTTTATCCTCCGGCCGCCTGCTTGACATCAACCCTCTTTGGTAATGCATTAATCAGTGATGTCTAAATACTCTTAGAAAGTATATATGATTCGGAAAAATCACTTTGGTACTTGCCAGGATCGAACCCGCGCCCTCGGGCATGTGAGGCGGGCCTTTTAACAACTAGGCCATCACTGACTTAATAATATTTTTAATTAATATTATAATAAAATTCTAGTAACAAAATAGTGACGTGATAAAAACCGTAAAATCTTTTAAAAAACCGTTTCTTTCATCACTCAAATATAATTTACATTGCTCTTAGCCGCTTACAATCCAACGTTTACACCTCACTACATGAAATTATTCGTATATCTCAGGCAGTAACAGCAAATCAACATAACAGTACTAAAATACGATTATAAAAAACCAATAAACTGGTAACACGGCCTAAATTTAAATGCATTAATTTATTAGTCACTATCGTACTATCGTGTTGATAAAGCTTATGGTAAAATATATTTAAAATGTATCTATTTAGTATTTGGTTGTAGATACTTAGAATATAATTAATATATTAATTTTTTATTTAATTGTATTAACTTTTTGGTATAGTATAATATATAGCCTGTATTTAGAGCTGGTTTATTTCGTTACAATATATATGAAAACTTTTTCGCTTATCAAAAACCTAAGTTAATACTATAATGTGTGAAGATTTTTAAAGGTAAAACTATTAACGCACTAAAAGTAGCTTATAAATGAAGCTTGGAGTAAGGGTCCAGTTTTTTTTTGTATAATAACAAACGCTTGATTTTTTATATTCATCGACACGGCCAGGATTCGAACTTGTGACCTATATAAAGTTAAAAAGTTAATCATACATCTTATTGCGTAATTGGTTGAATATATCTTTATAAACATGTCCTAGTAAAAAATGACTTAAAACAGAAACAGTTTTTAACAAAACATAATAAAAAATAACTATAACACTTTGAAAAGGCAATAAATTACTGATAAGGAGCAAAATAAACTAATTTTAACCAAAAACAATGTACAAGTCAACTAAATAATAAGATATAATCAAAAATAACATTACATTTGTTACACGGTAAAAGTTAATCAAAAATTTAATCTTGAATTAGGATTTGTATGCACTTTAAATGTTTATAATCTCTAAAATATCAGATGTAAAAGATCATTAATAATTTGATACAAAAGACAGCTAACTTAAAATTCAATTGAAAAATCAAAAAAGTCTACAGCTAGTATATTTTAATTAAATTATTTAACCGATTTCGTGTACAAATGTACATCTATCATCACCTCGGCTAAGTGCGCGCGAACTACGTCCAGAAACGTTTTAGCAAAACATCCAATAGTTCAGTTATTAATAGCTGTCATAATCAACACGATGGCGCGAACAGACCGCGTCGACAGCTTTATAGACGGCCATTTTGAGTGCATTTAGTAAACGCAGATAAATATTTATCAGATAACAAATATGGCCTGTTTATTGTTATTGCTGAAAGCTTTCTTAGAACATTGTTATGTTACATTATTAAATATAACCTCATTGTAATATTTGCATCATTACTCTCCGCCTGTCGTGTCTGTTTATCGAATAAATCAAAGGCTTTGTAATCGAAACAAAAAAGTTTTAAAACGTGATTAATTTATTGATAAACGGAAAAAAACCAAGTTGAAGAGAATAAAATTGATTGCTTTTAATGAAATAAATGCAATAACTTTTTAAATCATAGACAATTAAAATGTCATAAACTTTAAATCATCATGTAACTGAGTTATGAAATTAATTTATTTTGTATAATTAATTGCGTAAATACTCTTATTAACAATATTGACTCAAGTCAGAAACATCTTTATTAAGCGAGATTAATTTCTAAACCACTCAAAATACATTTTCGTCTGGCACCTCAATTACTATTATTGACACGAAAAATATATCTATTTCTGTAGTACCACAGTTTAAGAGACTCATAAAATGAATGTTCTGATAAGCTGTTACTAATAAGATATGCTTTTCGATACCTACTTTGCTTAAAAAAGTCATTTTAGAGATCGCAATAGGTAAATAATATTTCTATAAGTATTGATATCTTACATTTATTGATAAACAATATGCTTATAATTTTTATACATATAGTTACGTCGTTTTAAAACAATGACGTCGTTACATGGTTTTAAAAACTAGACACAACGATATAATTTTTTTTCCTTATGAATAATTCATTATGTATGAGTGCAAAATAACATGAAAGATCACTGAAATAGTCTTTAGTTTTTTACTTAAGTAAAATATTGACTGATTTGCGACGTTAAAGACAGAACAAGTGAAAACAATCATATTGTATTTAAATCCTTTACAATAAAAATATATTACAATCTATAAAGCAATTTAATTTTGAATTTAATTATAATGTTTATTGAACCCATCCAGATAAGTGTAATTAATCTGGTCACTAGATTCTTGTGTCTTAATATTCTTTAACCGTATCATCAATAGTATCAAGAATGGAAGAGTCTGAGAAGTGGTTCCGTGGTGTGTCTTGCTTAGAACACTTGGAAATTTAGTATTAATTGAATGAGTTTAAGCATCCGTAAAGCTAAAGGCTTATATCGATCACTCTTTTGTCAAAATTAAAGGCGTAGTTTGTGCAAAACCTTTAACTAAATTATTATTCAACATACGCATAAAATTCGGTGTTAATTAAAACTGCCTTAAAACTAGGTCTAAAGTTAAACTACCATACTTGTCTGTGCCTTTAATTTTTCTCCTTCATATCAGAAACATGATAAACTTAATATTGTAAACTACATCCACTATTGACAGCCGGTATTAATATAATACAAAATACTTGTATCACGTCTTAAAAATAGTCCGTTTGACACATTTTGATCACGTCCACTTCCAAAATTGACAGAATAGGATCTGGAAGATTAAATCAATGAAAAAAGCGGATTTTATATTGTGGTAGCGTTAAACCAACATATATAATAGCCTCGGAATTCTAAAACTTAATGATTTCATCAGATTTCATGTATAGTAAGATCTTGTTTCGTAAACATTTGGTAAAAATCAAATTGTCTTTCGAAAAAAGGTTTGCTGTATGGAGACTAGCGCCATCTATTGTGTGAAAGAAATATGACTTGAGCATTATTTAGAGCACGTCCAACCACATTGAAAAATGTTCTTATTTATCAGAAGAAGCGTTTGCATACCATCAAATTCAATATTTCAATTTTCAAGGTATCTCAAACTGTTTGATTTAAAGATCTTTTTTACACAAGGACTAAGTTGTGTTACAACAGTGGAGTAGTTTAAAGTAAATTAAATAGCTTTCTTAAAGAACAGATTCCTCATATTATATTCGTATTTAAGCTTGTTATAATCTCAGGAAAGCCTTGTTTGAATAATTTTATTAAAAATACTCATTATTTATGACAATATTGTTATTGACTGTTATACATATGTATTTAGTGTACTTTAGAAGTCTATATTACAGAAGTAAAAATACTCTACATTTAAATAAAAGGTATATATTATTTTATTAAAGTTACATAATTAGGAAGTATAACACAATTTATAATTAAATGATAGGTATATTTGGTCAGTTTTAAAAAGTCACAACTTTGCGACTTTTGATGTACGAGACCATTTCGCATTAGGTATATAATATATTTATTACGATGAAAAATGCATAGTAAAATTAAACTATGATAATTTGCAAATTGACATTCAAGAAACCCTAATATATAAATATAAATTTTAAGTATTAATCCCATACAACTGAGTAATGTATATAATTTTGTTTATAATCTGTTTTGACAGCGGATATGTGCTTGTTAAATATTACCACATTAAAATTCGTTTATGTTACAAGCCCTAAATTAATCTACCGCGGCAAATATGTAGAACGTTAACTAAGTTATAAATACTTAATAGGAATTGCAGAATTAGGAAAAACCGGCTCTGAAATATATTTGTGAGTTCTTAAACTATATTTGATTACTAATTAATTACAAAATACATATAAGTGTTTTGTACAAATATTTCATTCCTTTTCTTTAAATTGAAATTGCAATAACAAAGTCTATATTTTAATTTAATATGTCCTTCGGTTTCGGAGAACTAGGAATACGATGTTGAAAAAACTCGTAGCGACATCTAGAAACCATTTAAGAAAACAAGTGGCAGGTTGTTAAATACGCCATCTAGTAAATACTACATGAATTAAATTCTGTACAAACGTTTCATTCAATGACAAAGTGTATAGTTCCTTCACAAGTTTTAAACTTATTTATTGATGCTATAAATATAAAAAATAGAGGAAAGTTGTGATTGGAAATAAAAGTATTTTTAGTATAGTATGATATTATATGTAACTTAATACTATATTTAATTTATTGAGTGTTATGTCGACACTAACCTATATTACATATAAAATATAATTTCCATTTGTATATAAAACAAAACATTTTAAGTAAAATAGAAAAAAACATCATATAAAAACTTCAATAGTAACTAATTTAACAAAATATTTAGTATAAAAATAAATAATTCTGGTAAAACGGAACAACTTTTCCGCAATGCTACCAATCGCACAACGCTAAGTATCAGAAATAACTTGTCGCAAATCCACCATTTTCCCTTTGTAACTAACCGGTGTTCAAAACACGTGCGTACGATCAAGTTACATGGAAAACCAGAGTGTTCGCGACTGAAATAAGTACATAAACGTTACTAAAGAGTGCGACGCGTTTTGCTTAACAGGTGTATCGTGTTAAAATACCAGAATGAATACCGAAAAGCTGAAAAAACTGCAGTCGCAAGTCCGTATAGGCGGCAAGGGGACCCCAAGGCGCAAGAAGAAGGTCGTCCACGCTACTGCAGCTACAGATGACAAGAAATTACAGTCATCCCTCAAGAAACTATCAGTGAACACTATCCCTGGCATCGAAGAGGTGAATATGATCAAGGAAGACAACACAGTAATACATTTTAACAATCCAAAAGCGCAAGCATCGCTCGCAGCCAACACTTTCGCTATCACCGGCCACGGGGAGAACAAACAGGTCGCTGAGATGCTTCCCGGCATCCTGAGCCAGCTCGGATCTGATGATATCAATCGGTTAAAGAAGATGGTATCCAATGTGTCGCCTCCAAAACCGATAGACGAGGATGATGAAGTGCCTAACCTAGTTGGTGACTTCGACGAGGCGTCAAAACAAGAGGCCAAGGAGGTCGTAGCCGAGGAAAAGGAGAAGGAAAAGGAAAAAGAAAAAGAGGAAAAGCAACCCGAACCAGAAACCAAAGCCGCGGACAAGAAAAGCGATTAAATAATCCTCTATAGATTTATATTAACGCTCACCAAGTGCTAGGAGTTTCCAAGGGCATGTGTGTCTCAAAGTTACTTTATCTTTTGTATTTTTTGTGTTCCCATATCCAAAATTTTGTCAATGTGTTGATGGCTAGCTCGGAGGGACTTCTTTTGTGCTTTTGGAAACTGTAGAGCCATCCGGTTACAGCTTACACATCATGCACTAACAGTTTTAGTTGTACTAGTAACAGCATTTGATATTATTTCAATAGTAATATTGGCTTCAAAGATATCCGAAGAACTTGTAAATGCCGAGACAGTAAAGTTCTATGTATAGATAAGGTGTTGAATGTACCTTACATATTTTATGAAGATGAATTTTTCTAAAGTTGTTAATCCATGTCCCGTTCAAAGGTTGCTTTCTCATTGAACATAACTAGGTTAATACAAATTGAAGATTAGTCACAGAAGACTCGGCTCGATCGAGCTATATGTATAATAACAAAAAAAATGCAAAATGTAAAACATTAGGGTTGTTGTGTTGGCATAAACTTTGGTCTAAGATATAATTGTTTTATTTTACCCCATATAACCATATTTATAATACAAATATGTAAAGATATAGAAAATAACACCTTAACAATTACATCAAATGAGTATACTATTCTAGTATTTTGAGTTAAAAATAACTAAAATTGCTTTTAATGATATATAACTGAATCAAAGTAAAATTAAGAGCATAGTAATAGAATTTTATCAAATACTTCAATAATGATAGTCGCGGTTAAAATGTTATCACATTTGTGGTTAATTATTATCAAATTATGATAACTCAAAGTTTTTACCACGTTTATAGTCAAATTACTCAGTAGTTAATATTATATTGAGTCATTTTCATGTTAAACAATGTTTAAATTAACTCGTGGTGTCTATTCAATGTTTCAAATTTTTTTTGTCATCTTTACTTTGTTACCATAATGCAAAATGATAATGTAATAAAATTGAAACTCCATTTTTAATAGGTTATAATAGTATATTTCTACAAATTCAAAATAGTACCAGAATAAAATTTTGTTGAAATTTTATATAATATTTTATTCCAAAAATATTTCAATTTCTGAATGTCAAGAGAGCATTTTAAAACATGAATATGTCACTGTTTACATGACAAATGACAGACAATAAAATTTCAAACTTGCAGTAGTCTAGTAAATACTATAGCACATGTTTTATTTGGTAGCAATAAGTATCTACGTAAAAGATGTATAATATATGAAAAACATCTTTGTCTTAAATATGTTAGGTATCTGCCCTTGTTCTTAATCGTTTTTTAATAGTATTAGTCTTTATTTACATCACTTACCTATTTTGTTTTCTGAACCAATCATGATTATTTTTAAGTTGTTATAACTTTTAAAACAATATCTTTAGTGTTTAATATAATTCAAAAACATTGTTCTATTTTCTACCATACGTTCTGAATGATTCATTGCATGCAGTGTCGTTCTTTTTTTTATTGTAAACTTAAAAAAACATTTAAACTGATCAATTCTCTATTGTATTACTCATAATAATTTATATAAAAATCATCAAAGCCCACATGGTTAAGACATTATCTTAAACTGTAATTAGTTTAATAATTAATCATAAATGTTAGTAAATAATAATCAATATTATATTGTTTTATTTTACACAAAATGAAAGGAAAAGGTTATTTCCTTACTGCTAGTAGTAATTAACATTCTATAGAAATGGGAATTATCTATAAAGGATGTATGCCTTCTCCGGATTCAACAAAAATACTTAATTTTTTTTCTATACTTTTTACTCTCATACACCTTATTTTAAGTCTTTCCCACAACTTATGTAATTAAATATTCTCTTTCCACTCTTAATCACAATTTTTTTGAGTACCATAATACAACAAAATTTCATATTAAATGGCTCACATATTTCCTATATAACAGCATAATTTTATTGTTTTTGTATATATGATATATTGTTACTACTCAGACAGCTGAGTCATTAACATCATCAAGATTGTATGGTAGTAGTAGAAAACTGGTTGACAATTCTATTACATACTTTGTTTCATAGTAATCAGCTGATTAATATGTGATGTGATTTTCTTTTAAATTGACATCAAAGCTATCAAAATAAATTATCACAAAAAAAGTGTGACGTTTTTATGTTTAAGTTTCTTTTAATTTTCTTTTCGGAATTTAATACTACTTCAATGATTTTTAGAAATTAAATGTTTTTTCAATCATATATCCTAGTATGTATGTGGTTACTATAGCTCTTAAGTTATATAATAATATGAAAATTTAATTCTATATAATTAAACTAATAATTTCTTACTGTAGACCGTAATAAATTATACTAGCTGAACCGGCCAACGTTGTTTTGCCATATAAAAAAATAAGGGTTAGTGATAAAAACAAAAAATTTCTTTCGAATTAAGGGTGAACAACCCTTGTGACTTAGGGGTATAAAAAATAGATGTTTGCCGATTTTCAGACCTACTCAATATGCTCACAAAAATCCATCAAAATTGGTCCAGCCGTTTTGGAGGAGTTCTCTGTCTAACACCGCGACACGAGAATTTTTTATATATTATGATCTACAAGAACATGAAATACACGTTAATCATTAATTTTTTAATATTCATGCGTATTTTTTTTTTGGGTAAAGTGAAAAATAAAAACATACTTATTTGTAATAAAATACCTAATTATGATTCCTCAAAATTATAATACTAATTCTAATGCCGATACAAAATGAAAACAATATAATACTTTATAAATAAATACAACTGATATTTGAATTAAAATTTCAAATCTCACCAAAAACATGCCTGTTAAAAAGGGGGCCAAGTACCAATCGGCTAATTGTTTGCCTAAAAAAGGGTTGAAATCCAATCTAATGCCAAGTTTAGATGCACTTTGAAATCGATCATAATCATCTTCATCAACAGCATGATCCACTGGTAAACATTTGCCATTCCCAAGACTCGTCACCACACCCAGTCCTCTGCCTTCCACATCCAGCCACTACCCGCCACCTTATTCACGTCAACGGTCCAACTGGCCGAAATTCACTTTACCATACACCCAACTTAAAATATGGTATAGTTGTGAAAATACGTAGGTGCTTGGTTAAAAATATCTAAAATTATAATACTTCTAAATTTGAACTTGGCAGGTTTTTGTGCTGTACGTAACACTTAATTAATTGTATCATTCATTTATTATTTATATAATTAAATTAAATTAAGCGCTCCACACTGTTTTCACAATAATTTTAATTTAAAAATAAATTAACAAACAATAAATGGTATTTTTGTGAAAAAAGCGTGGGGAGCTTCATATATCAGTTCTTGAGAAGCGCCCCACGCTTTTTTTTCAATAATACCATTTATTGTTTATTTTAAACAATTTAAATTAAATTGATTGCCAAGGTTGTAAAGGTTAAATTAGTTTCCACGCGGTTTCTTTCATCATTGGAGCGTGGTTTTTAGTTTTTTTTAAAACTTATTTATTTTTTATTTTTTAGTTTTATTTATCACCGATTGATATATGTACTCATATTATTAATTATTAATATTTCATTATTATGTATTTTATTGTGCTGGGCTGAGCCCCTATATACAGGGTGACTGGTGAATTACTATCGATACTTGAGGACGTGATATTTGACGATCATATATGACAAAATAAAAATTAATATAACATAAATATTAATAAACTTCTAAGTAAAGTTAACCAAAAGTTATGTAATTAATTACGCATCGTGTGAACACCCTACAGAATAGGTATACACACACACACATACGAGTGCGGTGGCGTGGTGTTGTATCAGCACGCCGCCGCACGCGTCCATACTTGGAACACTTGGAATGTGTCAACACATACGGAAATTTTGTCAAAAATTAAGTGCCTATTTTTTTTACATAATTCGAATGAGAATCATGTACCGAGTATTCTCCTTAAATATTGATAGTAATTCACCAGTCACTCTGTATATATAGATATAGATATTATTCTATAGTTTTGAGTTTTAGAAAAACTTTTTGTCGTCCGGATATTTTTTCGTCCCGATATTTTTGCATTATTTTTATCTTCATATTCTTCTCCTCAAACTCTTTCATATGATACCAATATCACAGCAGTGCATAAGAAGCGTGTTAAAAAAAAGGAGAGTTACATACATACAAACAAACAAACATACAAGTGATGCTTATATACAGCGTCTAATAAAAATTCGATATTCGATTAAGCCAACTCACGCTTGACCGATTTCTTAAATTTTTTTTGCCGATTCCTGATAACTCTTTGACAGATTAAAATAAAAACTACAAAAATTCAACTTAACATATCTTGTATTTCATTTAATGTTTTTCCTTTCGTTTCCGGCAAGAAGAAGAAAGTGAACAGAAAGGCTAGTACACACGAGCCGCCGAAAATCCAGAATGTTACGTCACCACCCAAAACATTTACCATCGTAGTAAAGCTCGTGGTCAATCCGAAACCAACCAGCCAAGTTAATGTGATCGCTAGAGCAGAGCCATTTGAACGAACATTTGCTCTGAACATTTCACCGACTATTGCGTTTGGTATCGTACCGAAACCTGTAATAAATAAATACATTTACCTAATATATTAAAACATTGACATCTATTTAAAATTTTATACCATTGTAAACCTTTTTAAAATATTTTATTTAAATTAAATCACTTTTGATTAATGTCTTTATAAAATTGAGCATCAGATAATAATATTACCAAATCGGATTAAGTCAAATATAAGCTAATAATAGTAATTTAATTAATATTGAAAATTGTTACAGATAACACTAATTCTTTAGGCTCAGTGTATATAAACTGTCATGGGCTTAGGGGAATTATGTAAATTTATAAAATACTAGAAGACCTGGCGAACTTCGTATCGCCCTATAATCAAGAAATATCTATTACGTTTTTTTATTTATATTTGTCAAATCTAATGTCAAAAAAAACCGTTTGTATGGGAAATAGAAAAGGGCTGTTTTTATGATTTTCCCAGTAATGAATCAATTTTTTTCAGCTTTTATACCTTCCCTGAACCTCCACGAACATTTCAAGACTAAGATAAGATAAATCCGTTCAGCTGTTCTCGAGTTTTAGTGAGACTAAGGAACAGCAATCCATTTTTATATATATAAGAAGATAGAAGATTTAAGTTATGATTTTATGTTCCCGGCTTAAGAATCGTGAAATAGCTATGTCAGTTTAGCTATATTTTTTCAAATAAGTAATGTTGAGCCTATACTTGAATACAAATTCGAATTGTCGCTATTTTTATTTTATTTTATTTATTTATATGATCTATATCAATTTTTATATAAGTCTTGATTTAGTCTTAGAAAAACATAAAAGTATAAATTTAATATCAGTGAAGGCATCTATGGGGGAGGCCTATGTCCTGCAGTGGACGTCTTTTGGCTGATGATGATGATGATGATGATGATGATGGCATCTATACAATGTTTCTTTATTAACAATGTTTAAACGACCCAAGTAAAGGCATGATAGTTAAGTTAGTAAAATAATTGGAACTATAATCCGGAAGTTCAGGTACAAATTCCATTCGTTCATTCAAATTTTCAAATCACTTGATTTATAAACTTTAGTGTTGCTAGTAGTAAAAAAGCATACAATCACCTACTTTGTCTACGTGCTCTTAATAATAAAAATGTATTTTATTTATAAATAAAAGTAGTCAAATGAGTTTTACACTTTAACCTAAACCCTGGTTTTAGTTTTAACTATCATATTAAACCCGAGTCTTTATCAGTTTACAAAGTTGTAATATTTTTATTTGTCGCCTTAAATATCATTCTTAATGAACTTGAAGTAAATGAATTGCATTATATCCGTGGAATTATTCACAGATTTTTGTATTATATTATTTTATGAAAATCAAATACTTACCAGCTTCGTAGCAAAAGAAATAAACTATTAACGCGACCAACGGAAGCCAGCCAATGTTCTTTATGAAAGCGACATGTATTCTGTCCAAATAAAAATATAGACCTAGAATAGACTGAAACAAAGAATAAAAAAAATAATTAAAATGTATTAATATATATAATAAAATATAGTAATCATAACATGTTTTTTTAATTTAAGGTTTCAATCAATCGTATTAAAAACATAGCCATTTAAGCAATCAAAATCAAACGTATAAGCATGCGATATTAAATACGATAAATTTTAAAATCAATTATAATATACATATTTATTTAAATTAAACTTATTATTTTGATCTATTATTTGCATGATATCATGAAGAGCATTCGTATTATAGATTCTTACCAAGCTTATAGCACACGCAGCCATTGAAATTAACAACAGAATCTTTCTTCCAGATCTTTCAACGAAGGAGGGAGCGATTAAACTTGACAAGAGTCTCGTCACACCGATGATAATGGTTGCTAAATCTGGTCGGATTGATGAACCAGCTTTGTCGAAAATAGTTGTCGCGAAAAACAACACAACAGCCACGCCACTAGTTTGCTGAAAGGCTCCCAGTGTAAACGTCAAGAATAGAGACATTCTATTAGATCTAATTGTGAATATTTCCGTCCAATCTCGAATTTTACTTGTCAATTCGCCTTTTCTATTGCTAAATGTTTCAATAACTTTCTCTACATCTGAGGATCTTCCGAGCAGGTTTAGAGTTTTTGTAGCGCTGACAGGTCTGTCTGAAAAATATTTAATGTTATCCTCCGTGGAAAATCATATTTGCAACAATAATAAATGGTGTGTTTTTTTTTTAGAATAATCAAAGATGTATTTTGGGATAGCTAATATGGCTTTAATATTCTTTGAATATCTCTACCATATTTAGGAATAATCCTTAGGCAGACCCTGGCTAAAGCTGGGAAATTGCCAGGTAGAAGTAAGTTCTTAGGAATAATCCTATCTGAAGTTATAGTGACAATGTTATATACATTTCTTTATTTGAAACAACCTGTCATAGATATGATTCGTGAAATCATTAATAGTAGCACAGATTCCTTCTCATCTATCATTGTTTTAAATTTATTTTCTAGCATTTCGATAATGCTGTGTTGTTTTTGGCTATAAAGCATTTCCATGTTGAGAATCCGATTGCAGCATTTTAATCACTACGTTAGTTAGTTTAAAAACAATCATTTTTTTGCAATAATTAAGAGCTGTTCATTGGAACGAAATAAAGAACTCAAAGAGTTATTGTCATTTGGAGTAACTTAAACCTAAACATCCATTATAAGATTTTGTTTCGAGACCTAAAAAAAAGTGAAAAAAAATAGAGCCATAAAACGATTGTAACCTCACCTTTAATAGCGTAATAAACAGGAGATTCAGGTATGAAACAAACACCAAGCACATGTGTTATACTTATAGCTAAGGCTATGTAACCGGACTCAAAATAGGAAACATAAGGCACTGCCGCATAAACTAGGAGTGTACCAAATATACCGATAATCGATGTAGAAGTTAGTAGAATACCCCTGATGTGAGTGGACCTGCAAAATTTTTAAAATCAATGTATGAAGAATAGCTAATCAAAAAAATATATAGACTTTTCTGTATTAGTTTAAAATATAGCAAATTTTTTACGCAATTTCACCGACGTAAACAATATTTCCAACAATTGTAATTCCCATCCCAAGGCCAGATATTATCCTGACAGCGTAAACCATAGCTATATTATTGGTTGTGATAACCAGAATATAAGCAAGGATGTTCAACAACCCGCCGATCAAAAGACAAGGTTTCCGTCCGACCAGATTTGAAAGAATACTTGTTATATATGGCCCTGAAAATAAAAAAAATTATATTGGATTTTGAAATACATTTCTCTTTTTTTAAGATACGTTAAAAATATTAAATATAAACATTACATTGTATTTATCGGATTTAATTCAAATTCGAAGGTTCTTCATAATCAAATTATTCAATGGTCCGCACTCACTAAACTCTGCCGTCGTGCGTCCAGACTTCATATTTATACAAAAAATTCAAACATAATTCTATTCTCCTTTTAAACCAATTTTGATTTCGTTTTATTTTTAACAATAATCATGAATACTAATAAGTTTTTATTAAAATTGATGTCAGGCTCAAATTATTTTCATGTTGCATCCGTCATTAATGCTGATAGCGCCAATATATATACATATATAAATACATAATTCTATTAAGATTATTATTAAAATTCAAGTTAAACATGTTCAAATTATTGTAACACTTCAATAGCATTAGTTTGTAATCCCAAGTACTTGTAGCCACTTCAGGATCATTGAGATAAAGACATGAATTGAAGTGTCTAAATAAATATATTGTTGTTTACTCATTATGATTGTTTACAAAATTGTACTCCTATGTTTAAACATTAAACAAATAACAAATTGCGGAACGTAGAAAAAACCTCTTTTTTTTGACACCTTTTCGTAAATGAAATAGGCTTAGGTCAAGTGCCAATTTTCATTCGTCATTTTGAATTTACAAATAACTAATATCGTTTTTGTAACATTCGAGGCAAGAAAATTTTAGGACATTATTAATTCAGTTGTGGTTTTTTAAAAGCAAAATTCTGTAGAATTCTGATAAATTTTCTAGTTCAAAAAATTTGTTAATTGTCTTGATAAAATTGTATGTAATTGTGATAACATTTTAAGAAATTAACTTTACTTTTTAGTCTGTTTCATTCTTTCTTTATAGAATTATAATTTAAGATTAATTAGAGTGAAATACCCTTTTTAATTTCTGCTATAAAATGACACAAAACAAGTTACAGATTCGTTCCGACACGATGTCAAAAGGTCTGAATGAATCCTACTAATATTAGAATTGCGAAAGTTTGTGTGTGTATGTTTGTTACTTCTTCACGCTCAAACGGCTGAACCGATTTTGATAAAATTTTGTACACAGGAAGCTGACGTCCAGGAATAACACATAGACTACTTTACATCCCGGAAATTTCGGAAATCCCGGAAATCCGCGGGTAACACCGCGGGGCGCAGCTAGTAAAGCATAAACTTTACAATGTTTTTAATTAAAGTTAAACTAAAAGAGACCTATAGGTTTATCCAAAATAAGAATAATAAAATATTTAAACTTGAGTCTTTACTCACCAATCATAGATCCGATGTAAAGTAAGGAGCCAATATATGACGCTTCCAAATCATTTATGACTTCAGTTAATGGTGTTTCATGAATATTCTTCAGTTTTGGGATGATTGGAGCTGACCATCCAACACTATATCCAACAATTACCTGTCCAATGTTTACTAAAAAAATGTAAAAAATTAAAAATTAAATGAACATCGCCGGGGCAACATCGTTGTATGGATAAAATATATAACGAGTGACGCCGCTGACTCCGCGGAACGAACACCAAGCGTGTGAACCAGAAGATTCCTGATACACACAAGCTATGGAATGGTATTGCTATCCTAACATCGGGACAATCATGTAGTCTTAGGTATAGGTTACAAGTTTTAATATCTAATTCTTAATATAGCTTATATATATTTATGTGAGTTTCATAGTTTTATACAATTAGAGTAATCTTCTTCTTCTTCCTCCTGGCAATTTCCCAGCTTTAACCAGGGTCTGCCTTACATGTTGTGAACAGTTTTGGCTAATGGTATTTACGACCGGCCGCCTGCCTGACATCAACCCATTTTTGGGAATGCATTAATCAGTGATGTATTAATACTCTTAGAAAGTACATATGACTCGGAAAAATCACATTGGTACTTGCCCGGGCCAGGATCGAACCCGCGCCCTCATGCATGAAAGGCGTGCATTATAACCACTAGGACACCACTGACTAATACAATTAGAGTAGTAAGACTAATAAATATATATGTTAGAGTTAATAAAGGCAAATTGAAGAATTGAAAATATGGACTCTGGATTATCGGATTTCAATATTTATTGTTTGTTTTCAATAAAAATAAAATAAAAAAATCATTATGATTGAATTTCTTTTGAACATTATTTGCGTACGTTTATAATAAAACATATGAATCAATCCATTACATATTTTTAAAAACGTTTATTAATGAAATACGCGATCTATTCTAATCATACTCGGATTGGTTTTTAGCAATTTATTTTTCTGATTTATAAGCGTACCGTGGACTGTTTAAAATAATTAACTCTTTTACACAATACATTTATTTGAACAAAACTCCAATTAATTAGAAATATTTGGCAATTAATAATTTAAAATATCCACGTATCCATAACGAAGTAAAATAATTTTTCCGATGGGCAGTTTTACAATTATTTATGTATTTTTGACTATTATTAATATGACGTATAATTAGCTATATAATATTCAGTCTGGACAGACGAATTATTAAAAAAATATTATTGTTTACGCTTAGACCTATTTAAAATAAAAATGTTAAATGATTTAAATAGAATAAACAATTTGTAAATAATTAATTAATACACAAAGAAATTAAAAAAAATACTTACTGCAAGCTACAATAAGCAGTTGATATTTAATGCTTTCATTTTTAGGTTTTCCCTCCATAGTTGTGTATTCGTATTTCTTTTCTTCCATTTATATCGTAACTTGTTAATTTTATTGCACTATTTAGGTTGATGATTGTCAATAATTTTTTCATCCACCATGTGTTTATTTTCCGACAACCACAACTTATTTAAATCACTCCTAGGCAGTACGTTTCTAAGTGACTGTATTGATAAAAATATTATCTTTACTTTTAAGTAGTATCTATCGTCTTTTGTTGCATTCAAAGAGGAGTTCAGGTAAAAATTATAGACTTTGCACTAACAAGTCAGCGTGGCATTATATACATTTTTGTAAAGGCAAGGCAACAGAAAAAAATTTGTATAACCGCTGGAAGTTTATATATATAAATATATGTATTTCTTTAAGAAACTCGAGTGTGACTAACTCAAATATGGATAGTTTCAATATATACGGAGCTTTAACAGTTTCTCATACATAAAACTACGTAAATTATACTCAGTAGTAACGTAGGTTAATGAGTAAGAAACCTCAAACGGCTGGTTTGTAGTGTGATAATTCAAATTTATAGTAAAAATACAGTGAAATACCTCTTATCTTTTAATACGTGACAAATGTTACAATTGAATACATAACATCGAAACATGTAATAGTTAATTTCAACAAATAAAAGATGAAACTTTAAATGTAGCAATAAATTATTACTATTACAATAAATTATTACTATTACAAACTATTATTTATATATAATCGTATTTTATTATTAAACAAATTATTACAATTATATGAAGTACAGAAACAGAAAAAAATCCGATAAAAGAAAGCACCTACGTTTTGTAAAAAAATATACCTATATTGTAAAACAGATGAGTCATAAAAATACCAATTATTCGTTTAACAAAAAGAGTTAACCTTTTACACAGATCACTGATAAAATTAACAGCAACGCGTTCAAAATGTTTTAGTGCCTATACTTTAATATTTCGGATTTTGCGACTAAATTAAAAACTATGCTTTTGCCTTAACGATTTTTACTTCCCCTCTGTAACGTTGCTTCAATACAAAACTAATAAATCTGTCCTCATCAAAAGGGTTTTTAATTTACTTGCGATCATCATAATTACTTACTTTTATTAACTTACTTACTTTTGTGATTACTTAAAACTTTATATTTACACTTCTCCAAAGGCAAGCAGACTGGATTTTTTGATTTTATTATAACAAATGGACGGAATAGAAATCATCACAGATAAGTTTGGTTTTTGACTATTAAAGTACGAATCATGTTCTTCTTCACATGTAAAATTAACAAATGTTATCATGAGTGACAATAGTGATTAGCAATTTACTTCTGAATCCTCAACCAGGCTCGAGGTAAACGATTACGTTTACCTCGTGCCATTAGGCTAACACGAATTTTATCCTGAATAAGAATTTCTCTACGAGGGTTTTGGGGATTTAAGGTGCGAAGAATCAATGAAAACCTGACGTCGTAAGTCATAACTTAACTATGAAAGGTCAGTTGTAGAATGACGCACAGGAAAAGATTTAATTTGTAAGTCATAAATTGCATTACCTCCATGTATATTGGTGGATATCGCTGATAATGAGTTGTAAGTTTTAATTTGGTGATCATCATTGGACCACTAATAAGGAAAAATATTTTAGAGGCTTGTTCTTACAATGATATTATTTGAGAGTTAATTACCACGCTTATTCAAGACGGGTTAGCGATGTCAAACTTATAATTTGAAATTAAAAGTCCAAGTTTCCTCAAGATGTTTTTTTTTCACCTCTATTAGTGCTGTCTAAATATGTACTCTTAGAAAGTACATGTAACTCGGAAAAATCACATTGGTACTTGCCAGGATCGAACCCGCGCCTTCATGCATGAGAGGCGGGCCTTAAACCACTAGGCCACCACGACTTACATAGTTATAGAAGTAAAAAACTAACAGAATATAAAACATGGCGTACAAATATATTTTTTTAGTAACTGTTTGCAATTATAACAAACAATAAAATTGGCATTTGCCAAAAAACCAAACCAATATTTAATAAAGTTGGTAAAATTTCTAAACATTTCAATAAAATACCTACCGTTAGAAGTTAATCACTCCTTTATTGATTAAGTTCTTAAAACTATCTAAGTGCTGATACAAGATTTTGCACTCGATCAAACATTGTAACAAAGGTATTGTATTAGTATAAACAAGATTTTCAGTTGGATAACTAAATATAGAATTATTTATCAAGTATCTTAGAATTATATTTATTAATGGTGATTAAAATCAAATTTAGGTAGATCCTGATACACTGAAGAATGTTGATGTGAAAGATTTTTATGATTGTAATATATCTACAAATGGGATTGCGTAATTAATGAATGTAACAGAAAATTTATTTAATAATGAACTAGCTTTCCGCCAGCAGCTTCGCCCGCGTGGAGTTCCGTTATATCGCGTTTCCTTGAGAACCTTTCAGAAGTCTGGGATAAAAACTATCCTATGTTCTTTCTCAAGGTCAACTCTATATCTGTACCAAATTTCATCAAAATCAGTTCAGTGGTTTAGGCGTGAAAGCGGAACAGACAGACAGACAGAATTACTTTCCAATTTATAATATTAGTAGGGATGAGCGGTTTGTAATCTTAATACAAATTCTTTGTAGTACCGCCTAATTGTCAGCCGTTTTATATATAAATATTATGTAACTTCTTCCAGTATTAGACACATTTTATTGAAATAACGACAAGCCTAATTTGCAACTTAATTTTAATTTCAATCAAATAAGATTAAACTAATAATTTGAATCTTCCGTAATATTTCCTTTCTTTTTGAGATAATATGCAAAATGAAAATGTATTTATTTAGAAATAAAGTTAATTTGTCGTTACAAAAAAATATCAATTATTAAGTCGTCTCAAAGTTTTACTTCCATCTATCAGCATCATAAGGATCTAACGCATCAACGCATAATGAAATAAAATAAGGCATAGCATCTGATGCGCTACTATGTTTAAAGATATAAGTTAAAAGTTTAATGAATCATTACACAAACTATCAATGAAGTATCCAGTTTATTGACAATGTTAAAATACAATTATTATTCACAGGAAATGTTACTCGGATATGTTGAAGTTTAAGTTTTAATGATTATCTCCTTCCCGGGTTTCCAGGACAGAAGCACGGTTTTGGACACAAGGACTTTGGTCCTGTTTGAGGACATGCTTTGTGATTACCGTAGCCATGTTTGTCTTTAACATTGTGTTTCATTTTCGACATTAGATTATTGATTTGGTTTGTCAATTGACCGACTGTGTTGCACATGTTCTCAAGAGTTCCCATTGATAAGATGCCATCGTCTTTAGAGCCACAATCGCCCGGAATATCGACGTTTGACGAACAGCCCGATGGACATGCATTGAAGTTCAGACATTTATCTGAAGAGGTCGCAGGATACGGAAGTGGGTGGTATGGGGGGGCACATGGGGATATCGGCTTGGGTTGAGGGCAATGATCCACCTGCGGATGGCTGTTCGTCTTACAACCTTTGCCACATCTATCTAAAGCACAGCCGGTGAGAACTGGGTTTTGCTCTACATTTGGCATACCTTTATTCGTGGGACAGGCGATGTTACCGCATTGAGGCGGCATGTTTGCCGGACATTTCATATTGCTGCAGCTAAACGGCTCATCAGTTCTATATTCTTTGGGCAGTGTTGTTTTGCAATCCGGACACGGGCAAGTCACCTTAATAATGCCAGCCTTTATATCCTTTATCTTCCCGGGCGTGTAGTTCAAGCATTCATAATGTATCCAAGTCTGGCACGCACCCTGGCACTGTAAGCCAGTCTTTTCTGATACTTGCCCTAAACATATTTTGCAAGGGTTCTTTGTCTTGTTGCATTTTGGCATTTTGACGATGATCGACTATTAAAAACAACCGCTGTGCATGTTTCTTTTTTGTGGTGAATAATGAGAGATGGTTTATGTTTACATCATAATTTTTTATGGACTATCATAAACAAATGTGACAGTGTTCTGTTATTATCTTTGACAGTTTCTTTTTCTTTTATTTCGTATACCTACAATTTCAAGATAAAACAAGTCTCAAAAAAATTATATTTCAGTCAATACTTCTTGCTAGTAATCAATGTATATTTCTATGATTATTTTACTTAAGTAACACAAACATGTTTAGTTTTGTATCCTTGTGAGCCGAAGAAATTTTTATCCTATATATATTTTTTTAAACCCATGAAATGTTTTGTTGAAAAAGTACTGGTAATACTAATAATTAAAAGGGACGAAACCTCTCATCATTCAATGTATTCACAGTGCGTGTGTCGGGTCCATCGTTGTAGTGAGAGTAGCTTCAACAGTGACTGGGACTTGTGACCCAGGTGTAGGTTTAAGGGACCCTATCTAACGCGCGTCAAACGCTCACCTCCACCGTCCAAGCTAGAAATGTTATTACGAAACAAAATAAAACCAAAATAAATGTAATAATCTTGTTTTATATTTCATTTGTTTTAGTTGGCTACTTTCATCTTGCAAACGAGTTCTTTAACTTGGTTCGACAGTTGTCCAACTGTGCTGCATAGATTTTCGATACAGGAAAATATCGATCGCCGCTCCAAATTACCCAACATTTGAATATCCGACGTAATTCTTTTCATAGCCTCACACGGTTTTGCTAAAACATTTCAGTTATACGTTAATATTTTTCTAATATATAATATAATGAATTCCAAATGAATTTTCTACTTATAAAATTTAATGACAGTTATTAAAAATATTCTTACCACAACTGGATTCTTGTGACATATCAGAGCATGATATCGATCTTTTAGGACATGGTTTACATATATTTTGTTTGGAAGGGCACTTTTGAGGGGAAGCTGCTGGGCACGGCTTTGTCAAGGCATCGGGCGATGTAGGGCATATAGGCGAAACTCTCTTTTTTAATGCAGTTTTAGGGGGACAAGGACGTTTTGGAGGAGACGTATCTCTTTTTGGAGAAGTAACACTATTATTGGTAGGTGGTTTTGGTTGTGGACACGGAGGAGGTGGACACGGAGGAGGAGGAGGTTCGCAAAGGTCCAACGATTGCGAAGAATTGCATTTGGGAGTGGGTTCAGGGTAACATGGTATGGGCTTTTCCACATTCTTGGGACAATCAGCGGAATCGCAACGTGGCATTTTATTGACAGGGCTTTGTATTTTTTCGCATGATTCTTGTGGAATCTGGATACATTCTTTAGGATAAGGTATGACGCAATCTGGGCATGGGCATGTGACCTTTATGATGCCCAACTTTATATCTTGAACTTTACCAGGCGAGTAGTTCAGACATTTGTAATGTGCCCACTTTCTACACGCACCTTGACATTGGATCCCATTTTTCCTTGACACTGTTTCGCAACAGATTTTGCAAGGGTTCTTTACTTTATTACTCTTCATATTAATAGTTTAAAGTATTTTTATTATTACTTTAGTCCATTGCAGACTACATATTTCTCATGTTACACGCAATTTTTCAAGAAATATTTAGACATTTTATAAATTAATTTTAACGTAGATATCCCATTACTTTATCGATATGATTGAATGAATTACGCCTTCTATCGGATTCTGACAGAAATTTGAGTATTGTCCTATAAAAACAAAAAACAAAAAAAAATCTTTAGCAATTGTAAGGCGCAAAAAAGTTACCTATTTTAAGGCAATAAATACATATAAGTTATATCGGTCACGGCCACGAAAGACAGTTTCATGAGGGCATACATTTCCAACAATTTTCATTGTACTATTATCATAATCAAGATGTTTAGGAAAAAATAATAAAAATATAAAGTGGCTGGAATTAAATGACATTTAATTCAAACATATTTTCTATAATTATTTGTTTTATTGTTCAAGAATTCATGTAACTATTAAGAAGAAACATAAATTTTATTATTCAAAGCATACAATGGATATCGAGGATATAGAAATATGTTTTTTTTCCTATCAGGCACAATCTGTTTACTGACACTGGGATGAGCGTAAATTCACATAACATATTTTATTTATATAAGATTTTTCTAAATCTAATATACACAGGTTTTTTAACGACACTTATCAAATGACAATTTTGCTTTCTAGCTTGAAATATTAAGTATTCAAAATGTTACGACTATACTAATATTTTGTAACGTGAAATCAAATACATATGTCAACTATTCTCTGTCAAATGGAAACTGTCAAAGACTGAAGTAAAATAGAGGTTATTTTATTAAAACTTGAACAAAAATAATTAAAAATGCCGTTCATGAAAGGGAGAGCACCCATTCGAAGAACTTTGGACTACTTGAACGCAGGCAAGCTAGTGCTTAAGGACAAAATAAAAATATTTTCTGTGGCATACAACATTGTGGGCCAAAATAATGTTGGAGCAAGGGAGTTCGTTTTCTGGTATCTACCGCAAATTCAGTACAAAAATCCAAATGTACAAGTCGCTACATTAAAGAATTTGACACCATCTCCGTTTATAAAGTGTTATTTTGACGACGGCAGACAAATATTAGTGGACATCGATAATAAATCAAAGGAAGATATAATGGAGCATTTATTGAATACCGTTGGGAAATCGAAAGAAGTTTTGGCAGCAGAGGCGATAGAAAAGGAGGATAATCCTGCTAACTTCGGTATCGGTTGTCAAAGACCTTGTATATGCGAAATATATGGTCAAGTCCCATGCCCAGGTGTAGTCCCATTACCAAAATTCATGCGCGGCAAATATAAAAACCAAACAGATTAGATAGTTGTTTACAATAGTTATAAGTAAAATTATAGTAAATTAGAAAATAAACATAATTTTAGTTATTTATATATATTTTTATTCCACAAACTATTAACATTCACACAAATAAATTAATAAAAATATAACCACATTCAGGATACAAAAAATATAAGTATTAGCATATAGATGAGCTTAGAATTTGTAATCCTTCATAACATTGGCCATCAATGCTGCAGCAATGTAATGGAAATTCTCAAAGGCCACAAAAGTTTTTGAGTTTTCATGGAAAAATAGTTCATCATCAACTTCTTTTCCTCTGGGTCCAGTGTGAAAGAAAATACAATGATTTTTCTGCTTTACAATATCCTAAAAATTTGTTACATTATAAATTTAACTTCAATCAATATCATTACAATTAAAATATAGCTGATTCTCCAAAGAAATAGAAAAATTGTATTTAACTTATAAAATAAAAAATTTGGCCCATTGAAAGTAATTTACAAATTTAATTTATATACAATAAATAACAATATTTTTTCTTAATCTGTACACATAAAAAATATATGTTACAAAATAGTAATTATTATTTACATCAATGCCGAGTTTGAAGTCATTTACTTTATTAACATCAGATGGCCCGGCTATAACGACTGTAGCATCTTTTAAAACTTCCTCTTTCTCACTGCAAGCCTTCAGGGAAGTATGTGACTCGGTAGTCATATTTTCACTTGCCTTGTACAGTAATGGAGATACTGGATTCTTCTACAAGTTAGATTACACAGATAAGTGATAGTATTGTCTTAAATATGTATAGGGATTTTTATATTTAACACCTACTTTACAGCAACACATAAATTTCAGATTCATACCAAGTATCGGACAAAGTAATAAATATGAATTTAATACTGGATGGGGTGGTCCGAAATATGCTAAATTCAGTCCTTTTAAACAACCATATTCTTCCTAAAAATTATTTATATAAAACCATTAAGATTTATCAAAAATATACTTTAATTTGTAAGAAAACAAAGTATTAAAACAAACAATTATAGCCATCACAGTAGCTAGGGACTGAATGCTAGCATGTGTTCGTGATCTCATACACACTACAGGCACTGTTGATTGATTCGCAAATCTTTGTACACACATATGTGTCATTGTAGCAACAAATATAGCATCTGCCATGAATGAAAATACTCTGAAAAATTAAACAATAGTATACTCATAAATCATGCAATTATCATGAAATTTCTTAGTAATTAGGATCATATTATCATAACCTGCCCATATAATCCTGGTCCCAGACTAAATTATCAACTATATTGACATCATACGCGCCGAGGAGAGTCGCTGCTTTTGAAACAGCCATATTCAGAAAAGGTTCATTAAGTTCTTGTAATATCATCACCTTGGAACCCGCGAGAATATCCTGTCAAGACTTTTTATATAATAATTATTAACATTCTATTATAACAGATATATCTTCTCTACTCACCAATCTCTTACCGTGAGTATTTCCAATAGCACATTTCAAATTCAAAGCACTCTCAAGTACCTCTAAAACCATTTGTTCTGACCAGTTTTTGAAACATATTAGGTGTTTCGGCTTTGAATTCCTTGAGACATAATTAGTTTATTTCAAAAAACAACTAAACTAAATTCTGAGTTTTGTTGTGGGTGATCTACATTCGAAGATTTTAAAATGATTGATTATAATTGTATACGGACTTACATACAGCAATGTTCATTTCTTATTTGTGACAACAATGAAATGTTATTATGAAGAAATTTAAATAATTTCATTCTAATTCACCTTAACTAAAATAATTTATATTTAAAAATAAAAATACCTAGGTAAGTAACATAAAATTTTGACAAATTCAGACTTGAAATAATGAAAGAGTTGCCTGTAATGATTGCCTTAAATAAAAGTCAAAGTTATTAATATTATTTGTATTTTTTTTGCTTAAAAAACAACCAAGTTTTTTATTTGTTCGTATTTATTGCATTTGATTTCTAATACCCAGCTTTTTAATAACTATACTTCTCGCATAATATCTAATTTGTACTCTTTTTCGTAATTTTAAACAGAAACATATCTTTTCAACGTCACTAGAATAGTAAATAATATATTGGGAATAATCAAAATGAAACAGTTAATCAGATATAAAAATTTATATTATAGGAAATATTTTGGATTCAACAACAACACTCAACTCTACCGGGCCTCCGCCTTGTAATGGCACATTTATATAACAAATAACCAATTAAAAAAATATATATTCCTACTAACGCTTCAATTCGTTTAATCTCTTGATACATTTTCAATAACGATATCTAATAATAATAATAAAAAAATGCATTAAAAATCCAAAGGAGGTTTCAAATAAAGAGTTAATATATATACATATAAAAAAAAATAACAAGGCAGAGGCACGATGACCAAACGTTTCAATGATTTCGTTGTCAACAATCGCTCGAGGTCACCCATCTTATATATCACAAAGCATACAGTTGATCCCTCGACGCAGAAAAGAAAAAAAAACTAGATTTTTTTTATTTATTCACTGTTTTGCGTTCACAGTTCTTGTTTTCGCCTAACTATAAACTAGACTTAAATTTAAATTATTCATACGATCATTCATCCACGGCTCACTTGTATACTACAGAGCTCATTTTTACATCGCGGGGTCGGAGTCAATTCCGTGTTGCTTTCAAAGCAAGACTTAGCTGCGAAGGCAATTATTTTTTTTTTCATTAAACTTCCGATAAATATCACACATTTATCACTAATACCTATCAGCCGACTGCGTTTATGATCACTTACACTAGGACGCGTGAGGAATTGACCGGCCCCCGTTAAAAGAATGTAACTTAAAATAGACATAAAATTAGTTTTTCTCACAAACAAATGGAAGTGAAGTTCGACAGCTACTGTTTCGATTCATCAACGACGAAATACGATTATCATTACTTACATTCGCTGTAAACAAAACTCAAACGCTACAAATCGATTACGTCATCAAAACAAACATACGTCCAGATTTTAACTTTTCTTTTTTACACAACACGTTTTAAAAATTCTTACAAAATTTTTATTTCAATAATCTGAGACATAATTTCAAGCTTTACAATATCTATACAATGTTGTGACTGTATCCTATACTTATATTGTTCAGGCCATAGCATTATTTACATTAACCAAGCTTCCTTACAAAATACATTGAATAACTAAAAATCACAAAACGGTATTATGTACTTTAAGTATTGTATGCCGAATTGTATCCATTCTTCATATATACTAACTGATTCTATTGGATGGTAATTTCAATAATAATTCCTTCTATTGTTGCCATATAAAACTTTTTGCTAACGACCTTCTTAGTTAACAATGCAAATAAACTTCTCTGTAGATAAGTAACCTTTCTGCCCTCGTATATTTTTTAATTAATCTGTACCATCTTCTATCATACACCTAAAGCACACGATCACAGCCCACTACATAAAACATGCCAGTGTTATACAATTTATATACAAATCAGAATTCAATACAAAATCTGGCAACAATGATTTGACTTTAAAAACTTTTTATTGAATTTCAAAATGAGGGCAGAATCACATTTGTGGGTAACCGGGTGGAGTAATAAAAAAAACAATCACAAAAAAAATACATAATAAATAAAAAGAAACAATTAACAAAGAACACTGTTCATTAAGGCACGGGGTAAAGTTAAAAATTAACCCGAAATAGGCGTTACGTATACGTTATCCGATCCACTTATACATCATTTAAACGTTTTTTTCTTAGAAACTCTGGTTAAAAAATTATAACGGTCCAGTTAGTGACTTAACTGTGGTTTAATTGTAACAGAGCCAAATAATACAATCTTATTTTTGATTCCCAGCGCGTCTTTCGTTAGAATCTATCTAATCTCATGGTCACTTAAGAAAAATTCTCACAAAATAAATAATTAACGCTTATAAAGTTAAGTATTTCAAGCGCATGTTAACTTATTTAGCATAACACGTTGTATGGATGCTTATAATGATATTTCTGAGGCGATGTATTTGTTTTTATTGTGTTTTCTATAGTTTTGTTTTAATGGAAGTATTTGGTATATACGGTGGTATGAACAACCATACAAACGTGTTCAGAGGCAGCTCATTAACAATGTGATGTTGAAAAATATTCTAAGACAACGTGATTTAAAGTGTTCATATTTTTCAATATCATTTTAAACCTAGGGCGAGGAGGACGTATTCGTGTAATAATCTTTTCTTGGACTATTCTCAGTACATTTCATCTATAACTATATATTTATACTAATGGAATATTTCTGTTGTAATAATTAACATTTCAAAGTTCACATTTCGTATAATACAAAGCTTATTTTAACATTTGTCACAACTTTTAATTATATCTTGAAATGGACACTAAAACAATTTGTTCTGCCAAAAATTTAACAATTCTTATCGTGATAGTGTGTTCTGTTAAATAATATTATTTATTAGCAATTCCTTGTTACTTTTTCTTTACAACAAATACTTTTGTTAGTTCAGTTATGGTCAAACAGATGGCAGTAGGTTGATATCTGTACTACACTAGTCGTATGGTGTAAAGCGACTGTAAACACTTATCGCGTGTAATATAACCGACAGAGTCTTTTATAACATACGACAAGTCGTGTCGTGCCCGTGTCGTGTCCCCTCGCCCCGGCCTAAATTAAGTTCCGCTAGAATTTGTCTTGGAATATAAAAAGATTATTTGTCGCCGCAACAGCTATGATGCTCTCGTGTGGATGCCACGCCGTATGTAATATTTTCTTATTGAAGTCCAAACAGTCTACGCTTATCTCGTCCTGAAATACATAGAAAAATATGTTATTTTAACATTGTATTCCTTCATTTCAGTTATTGATTATATATACATTAATATTTAATGATATATTACAGATAATATGAGAGGTAATAAATTTCTGCTACTTATTTTATATGTTATTATTTAAATTATTTAAATTTCTCTGAACTAAACATCTATAAAACTTTAAAAGATAGTGTGCAGTACAGTATAATTAACATCTGAATCGCATCCGTTAAAGAACAAAACATATGACTTAAATAGAATAATTTGTGAGTGATTGCGACTACTTTCAGTGAGATTACTCATGCATTTTGTCCACATTGTGTGTTCCCTAATAAAATATATGTAGATATCTTCAATGTATGTCTGACAACTAACATAAACATATATGTAATATCTTTATATAATTTTTCTGTGAGTGTGTATGTCACTGAACTTCTCTCAAACGAATGGACCAATTGTGATGAAATTTTTTGTGTGTTCAAGGGGATCTGGGAATGGTTTATATTCACAATTTTGTCCGCTGGACAATGTTTTTTTAATTATTTTTTAATTTATCAGTAGTTGTTGTTACAAACGGTTTTTTTGACATTAGATTTGACAACAAACTAATACGTCAATCATTCTGTCGCACTTCAAAACAGAGAGATTTATGGCTTTAATGGGTAAACTCCAAAAATATAAATAAAAAAACGTAACAGATATTTCTTGATTATAGGGCGATACGAAGTTCGCCGGGTCTTCTAGTATATATAAATATACTGCGACAGAATGATTGACATATTAGTTAGTTGTCAAATCTAATGTCAAAAAAAAAACGTTTGTATCAACAACTACTTACTAATAAATTAAAAACTAATTAAGAGAACATTGTCCAGCAGACAAAATTGTGAATCTAAACCATTCCCAGATCCCTTTGAACACACACAAAAAAATTTCATTAGTTGTTCCAGTCGTTTGAGAGAAGTTCTGTGACATACGAGAATTATATATATAAAGATATACAGGGTGACTGGTGAATTACTATCAATATTTAAGGAGAATACTCGGTACATGATTCTCATTCGAATTATTTAAAAAAATAGGTACTTAATTTTTGACCAAATTTCCGTATAAATAAATAAAGTGTGGACACGTTCCAAGTGTGGACGCGTGCGGCGGCGTGGTGTTGTATCAGCACGCCGCCGCACGCGCGTGTGTGTGTGTGTATACCTAATCTGTAGGGTGTTCACACGATGCGTAATTAATTACATAACTTTTGGTTAACTTTACTTAGAAGTTTATTAATATTTATGTTATATTAATTTTTATTTTGTCAAATATGATCGTCAAATATCACGTCCTCAAGTATCGATAGTAATTCACCAATCACCCTGTATACATATATATTTCTATATTAGTATGTACCTTCTTCCTCTTGGCCGTGGCAGCGACTCTCCTCGCCCTAAGCGGCTGTCGTGGCCTTGTAGCAGCCGCATCACGTGACGCCTCCAATGTTAATTCCCCGCGACGAGCAGGCGCCGCGCCCGCGCCGCAACCACGCTCGAATATTCTATATAAGAAAATAGGGTACATTTGATATGTGTGAGAATATTTGTAGTGTAATTACATTGAAAAAATATATTTAATTTTTTTTTTTATGATTTATCTGTTTTTTTCGTAAATGTGTAAGATTTTGCTTTTTTAAATTTTAAAGATAATACGTATGTTATGTAATTGTCCGTGGCAGTTATTTAAGCTCGAACATTTTTTCAATATAACACAGTAATACCTCGCTTTGTGACCCGTTACGCGCGGATTCACTACAAATAAATTTCAGAAATTTATTCAAGTTTGGACATATTGCAGAGTATAGATAATAATGATGACCGTGTCTTGACTGAGTGTCAAACAATTAAAAACAGTGTTAGCTGTTATGAACGTATTTTATAAGAACGTAAACCCAAAAGACAATAGATGTATTGTTTCGTAAAAATAAGAATATGTATTGCAAAGTGTTCTAAGAATTAAAGTGATTGATTAAAATGATGTAAATTTTTTTGTATTATATTTTGACTGTGTTTAATCATAAACCTCAATTTACAGGAAATTTCAGTTAAAGCGATTTTTTTTCGAAATGTATCCCTCGTGTAAAGCGGGGTATTACTGTAATTTATATTATTACCAGAATAATAATTATTTCAGCTATAACTCCTATAACTGTACATACTATGTGTTATAATTGAACAATATATTTATATTACCTAAAGAAGCCGTTGTATGATCCAGTCATGAGCCTTTGGTCATCTCCGCTCCAACAGCACTCAAACTTGTCAAAGATGCAGTCATTTTCGTACAGTGAGCAAAGTTTTGATCGTAGATACTCATGCACCTGGAATGAAACATATATATTTAGTAATATAAAAAATATATAATTTATAAATACTTTTGGATCTAGAATAAAACTGATATTATAAATAATCTGTGTTTCATATATGAGTTAGTTATATATATTTACAGACAGGAAAAACAAATGTTGATAGTATCTTTAAGTAAATAATTGTGATTAATTTTTATAAGTTAATACATAATATTAATATAAATTGCCCTTAGTATATATGTTTTTTATATTTGATCAAAAATCTATAATTTAATAAGAGCTATTATACTTACTGGATATGTTTCTACTGGTTTGGTCTCCATTCTAATATCCCATACTTTTAAACCTAAATAGTCTCTAGACATCATGTATCTGAAACAAAAATATTCAACATTTTAATTTCTATCATAAACTTGGATTCCTAATGATTGCAATATAATTTTTTGTTCCTATACCAAATGAATATTCTTTTTTTTCCTAATTGATACCTTTGTAAATCAATAAAAAACAATACAATCATCCCTACTAATATTATAAATGCGAAAGTAACTCTGTCTGTCTGTCTGTTTGTTACGCTTTCACGCCTAAACCACTGAACTGATTTTAATGAAATTTGGTACAGACATAGAGTTGACCTTGAGAAAGAACATAGGATAGTTTTAATCCCAGACTTTTGAAAGGTTCTCTTGGAAACGCGATATAACCGAACTCCACGCGGGCGAAGCTGCAGGCGGAAAGCTAGTTATATATAAAAAAACAAAGGAACACTGTTGGTTTTCTTATAATCATCATTATGAGAATATTAGTATGTAGGCGGATTCAACCAAAAACAAATGGCTGTGTGTACGTGTGCGTTCGTGCATGCTTGTGTATGCGTGCATGTGTGCGTGTGCGTGCATGTGTGCGTGTATATGTATGTTTCATGTACCAACCTGCCAGAATTGCTAAGCTTAACATCGCTTATAGATGATATGATCTCTGAGAAGAATGATCTCGCGTGCGGATCTTCCTCCTCCTCAAACAGCTTCGCGTGACGGTCACACAACGCCGCCGCCCGCATGTCGCACAGCCTTATTGTACCTGATTATATATTTATTCATTATATGTAAGGCAGTTGCTGGCTATAGCTGGGAAATTGCCAGATATAAGTGGAAGTATTCATTATATATATATTCACTTACACCAATAAATGTCGGATGTATAGGAGCTAAATTTATTATGTATAGACCCAAAGATCAAATTATTTTTACTTTTTATTTATAAAGTCGATCTTTAAGAACATTAAATTTCAATTCTATTAGAAGAAATTCGAGTATATTTAAAGCTTACCAAATTTATGCATCACAAACATAAATGTAAATACATTATAAGAATGTAAAAAAAAATACCTAAACTGTATGTTTTTGGTTTGATGGTAAATCGTGGTAATAGAAAACACGCGTTACATTACATTATGTCGTCTTGTAAATATTTTTTCAACTTACCCTTACTACTAGAATATACAAAGAGATTGCATTCAGTCGGATGGAACTCCGCTGCGGTTATAACCTGAAAAGAAAAACATTTATATCAATATTTTTGAAGTGAAACTTTCCTACAGTGTTGCGTTTGATTTGTGAATCAAATACATTGCGCGCCACACAAAATGCATATAAAAAAAAACATAGAAATCGGTCCAGTTATTTAAAAGTCGCGACGTACACTATTTTTTCAAATTAGTAATTAGTCAGTTTTTAATTATTTACTAATTGTGAAAATATTACCTTAAAAGTCGTTAATTTAGAAAATTATTTCAACTTAAACTTTCTCCTGATAATCTGCTTCCAATGTAGATACGCGGGATTGTTAAATGATATCCAACGTGGATTTAAACTATTCCCGACGATATCTTTACATATATATAAAAATTTCGTGTCACGTGTTTATCCGCGATGGACTCCGAAACTACTGAACCGATTTTAAATTTGATTTGCATTCTTTGTGCATTTTGATCCAACTTGAAAGATAGGATAGCTTTTACATCTCAATTTATAGTCACAATATTATTTTATTGCAAATTATTTGTCTATTAAAGAAAATTATTTGTCATTATTACAATTATCTGTTGACTGAGTTAAGTATTCAATAGATGGTCCTATGTTAAAAATACAAACGTCATATATGAGCGACTATTTTAATACATAATAGCATAACCACTATGTGTTTCTGAGGCTAACGTATAATCTAACTTTAATTATTAAAAAAACGTAACAGATATTTCTTGATTATAAGGCGATACGAAGTTCGCCGGGTCTTCTAGTATGTATATATAGTGTAATATTATACCTCGGTGAGTTCCTCCATATTAGCAGGCTTTATATCCACTATATTGAAGCTCTGGTCAGTTATTTCCAAGTGCCACAAATTGATCCGTAGATCATCAGCTGACAGGTAGGTCTCTTGATCCGAGTTCAGGGATATTGAATTAATGTGGTATGTGTGCGCGTTGGCGAATATCCGTCTGGGAACAAAAAGTTAAATATGTTAAAGACATAGAAATATAAATAATTATTGACAAATATATATTACAAGTCAGTGGTGGCCTAGTGGTTAAAAGGACAGCCTCTCACGCATCAGGGCGCGGGTTCGATCCTGGCAAGTACCAATGTGATTTTTACGAGTCATACTTTCTAAGAGTATTTAGACATCACTGATGAATGCATTCCCAAAGAGGGTTGATGTCAGGCAGGCGGCCCTATCGTAAAAACAATTAGCCAAAACTATTCACAACATGTAAGGCAGACCCTGACTAAAGCTGGGAAATTGCCAGGTAGAAGAAGATATATTACAATTATAGAGTTTGGAGAAATAAACACAAATGCACATTAAAACGGTTTCAAACTGGCCTACATTTACTTATTACATATTTTTCCTTATTAATAATAGTTGTGATATGCAAAGTTTGTTCAACTGGGTTCAATTGATTCTATTGCAAAGGTTAAATACGAATTAAGGTCCAGAATTAAGATATGAAACTAATGTATAACTACTTTTCTTAGGTTTCTTTATACTAATAATTATTTCAAGTTCAATAAATGTTTGACATTGACATTTGACATGTTTGACACAAAATGAGAAGTTTTCACAAATTGACATAGGCATATTATACAACAAATCGTATTGCGTGTAATGTTTATATTAAACTAGCTTTTGCCGCGACTACGTCCGCGTGGAATAGTGACTTCCGGCAGATTTTTGGTTCTTCCCACATAGTTCCCGTTCTTGCGGGGTTTTCGGAATGGTCGAGTTCCCGTAGAATTTTCAGGATAAAATCTATGTTTTTTTTAAATTCACAATGAAGTACTCTTAACCAACAACATATTTATTTGTTTATTTGAATAAAGATTAATATTATTATGTTAATACAACTTAAACAAATTATTTCGACCAAATTAGGTACCATAAAAACGGTTTTTGTGAGTTAATCTTAAAAGATAGACATATACTATCGCGGACTGTTTTTTAGATCATTAAAAGAGCTATTATTCTTTAACACATTTTTTGTGTATCTTGAACCGTTTTCACGGTGCACGCAACGGACGGCTTCAAAGATGAAATAATTTCTCCCGTTTTTTACACATTTACCACTATATCTTTGCTCTTATTGGTCGTAGCGTGATGTTATATAGCCCACAGCCTTCGTATTATGTATACGAGTATACCTCAAAATAATACATTAGATTCCTATATCTCTCTTTATGAAATGAAGCAATAAAGTTTTAATATAATAATAAAGGCAGCAACTTTAATATTTACTTAATACTCGGCTTGCTTAATATGTAATATATATAAAAATTAATATTCAACCAAATATACTATAAAATAAGACGCAATATCATATAATCCTTATTATAAATCAAATAATCGACAAGAAAAATCATGATAGTGATGTGAAGTGTTTCGATAAATATGAGCCTTAATTAAATTTACTGTATCAAAATAAACACTCATGATAAACTTATTAGGTTAACGTGAATTGGTAAAGTAAGTGTCAATTGATATATTTATATACATTTATTGATATATATAATGTATATTACTTACAGACATCTCTAGACTACTTTAGTCTATGTTCCTTTTGTAACTATTTGATATTAGAAAAATTTAACCATGAAACAAAATAAAAGTTAATTAACAATTTATAAAGTTAATTGTTGCTTTCTCTGCATAATATTAATGTATTTGTTTAAATCATTTAACTATAAAGTGAGTCCAGTTTAAATTATATTGTATCTTTAATATGTATATTAAGTAAGTTAACTGTTTTTGTATTGTATATTAGAACATAGCTATTTGCCAGATGTCAAATACCAGATGATTTTGAATGAACTTATCTTGAAATAGACAACATGCTAACTTTTTATTTATGTACATATAAAATTAACATTAATTGATTAATTTGAAGGTTTTAATATGTTAATGGTTGTAATAAACTTTTACAGTGCTAATCTATATTAAACAGTTCTTTTTAATTCAGAGACTCTTTTTGTGTTTTTTGGATGAAATATTATTATTTTTAGATCCAAGTATGTTAATTTCGCAAAAATAAAATATTAATACATATTTGATTGATCAACATGATTCTGTCTTTGTAAAAATTTCTTCTACTGTTATGTTAATATTGTGACTAGAGGCATGGCAAGGCATATTATTTTTATTATTAGAGCAACAATTTCCTAGTTAAACCTTTATTCAATGGTACTAAGATAAAAAATCCCTCCTTCCACTTTATATTTAGTTCAATTTTATGGTAAAAGAAGAGACAATCCCTCCTACTACTATATAAGAAGTTTAATTTCATGGTACCAGGAAAGATGATCCCTCGTACCACTATATATGAATTAAATTTAATTCATCTAAGAGACACAATCCCTCCTACCACTATATATGGAATTAAATTCCATGGTACTAACTAAATCCTTCCTAGTAATCTAATATCAAGATAATTCCATGGTACCAGGAGAGATGATCCCTTCTACTACTATAAAGACCATCTTTCCTACTAATCTAATATCCATATAATTCCATGGTACCTAGGTGAGGCTTCAACCATGAGGTCTGCTGGACTGACTGTAGGTACCCTGAGCGAGGTAACCCTGGCAGGATCCCTCGGCCTGCCACCTTCTTCACGAGTATTGTAACCAGTCACTCGCTTGTCACGCTCCGATACCTGTAATAAATAGTAATATACAAGTAATAATAATAATTTATTGTCTCCAAAAAAAGCAATTACAAGGTATTTCCCGGCCCGCCTCTCATGCATGAAGGCGCGAGTTCGATCCTAGCAAGTACCAATGTGATTTTTCCGAGTCATATGTACTTTCTAAGACTATTTAGACATCACTGATTAATGCATTCCCAAAGAGGGTTGATGTTAGGCAGGCGGCCGGTCGTAAAAACGAATAGCCAAAACTATACACAACATGTGAGGCAGACCCTGGCTATAGCTGGGAATTTGTCAGGTAGAAGAATAATAATAATTTATTGTCTATAAAAAAAGCAATTACAAGGTATTACAGTTAACAATAAGTTCCTAAACCGATTTTGATAAAATTTTGTATACAGGAAGCTGACGTCCAGCAATAACACATAGGCTACTTTAGGTAACACCGCGGGGCGCAACTATTTCTTAATAATTTTCCATAGAATGAGATCTAAGATTTTTGCGAGTTTTATTCATTTAAATGAAAGTAATATTTGTTGGGCATACTACGCGTGCTTTATTTTTGTAAAAAAACTACATACTCCCGACGTTTCACTTACTTATCAGCAACCGTGAATACGGGCGGACGAGATGTGAATGTGTTTATACAAAAATAAAGCACGCATAATATATCCGAAAAATATTACTTTCATTTAAAATTTAAATGGATATTTTCAATAGACAAAGATGTATGGTATACCGAATGTTTAATAATCTTTTCATAAATAATAAATCTTCATAAATCATGTTAATTAAAATCAAGAGTGCATTCATGTTCGCAATTCCTTACTTTAATTAGTACATACATACTTTATACTAGGGAGATAACAAATATGTTGAGATACAAATAATTGTAATAGTATCCAAAAACCTATATATTTACTCTTAAGACTAGTTTGGACCATCCCTGCTAATATTATAAATGGGAAAGTAACTCGGTCTGTCTGTTACGCTTTCACGCCTAAACCACTAAACTGATTTTAATCAAATTTTGTACAGAGATAGAGTTGACCTTGAGAAAGAACATAGGATAGTTTTTATCCCAGACTTCTGAAAGGATCTCTTGGAAACGCGATATAACCGAACTCCACGCGGGCGAAGCTGCGGGCGGAAAGCTAGTATACTATATATAGACAGTTGCCAGTATTTCATTCAAATATTTCTATGATAGTATCAATGTGGTACATAAATAACAACTGTCTGAGTAATTGATAAAAACTGGTTGTAAGGTTAAGTTAATAATACAACAAATGTATTTATTTTACAGAATGTATGAACTAAACAATAAGAATTATAAGATATATTTTCTATAAGTCAGGTGTGGCCTAGTGGTTAAAAGGCCCTCCTCTCATGCATGAGGGCGCGGGTTCGATCCTGGTAAGTACCAATGTGATTTTTCCGAATCATATGTACTTTTTGAAAGTATTTAGACATCACTGATTAATGCATTCCCAAAGAAGGTTGATGTCAGGCAGGCGGGCGGGCGGTCGTAAAAACAATTAGCAAAATATATATATAAAACACACATACCTTCCACAGTTTGATGGTCTTGTCGTTTGTTGACAATAGGAAGTGCGCCTGATTCTTTCTCTTAAGCCATCTTATTTTATTAATTTTTTCTTCTATTTCTAAGGACTTGAGATAATCAAACTCCGGTTCATGGGATTGGAACGTTGAATACACATTGTATTCACCTTTTTTGGGCACACATTGCTTAGATGCTGGGTCTCTCTGAAAGATAAATATATTCATTAGAAGAGCTAAGGCTTTGAGAACATCAATATATATTATTTTTTTATTCAAACACATGGAATGGTTAGTATAATTACATATAACACCAGATTTATGTAAAGGGACTTTTGTTTTGATGTAAAAAAAAATTAAGTACAAGATTTATATACTTATTAAGTTAATATAGATTAATTTATATAAATTTGAATAAATATTTAAAAGGCTCAACTGTCAAAAGGGCAGAACTCTACACCATTATGACTATCACAAGATAATTAGCTATTTTACTTTCAATTTCAACCAGATTCTTCTAAACAAATACATTACAAAACATATATCATACAACATGTACAACATACATATACAACATGTAACATAATTAACACACACCCTGAAAGTAATTTGTTCAGAATCAGAATCTAGATCAATTTTGATAGTTTTTTTAGGTAATTTTTTTCTCAAATTTATACTTATACTTTGAACAATACAATTTTGATATTACTAAAAATAATCACATTATTAAAATCAATAAGTAAAATATATATGTATATCATTACATTCAGATATAGCAACATTGGTTCTTCATAAATATTGTATTCACATACAAGCATGCAATAATTATAAGTTATAACATAGTTCCAACGATATCTTACTTGAAATATAACAACCCTGCCACCCTTATCCCCCGTAGCTAGAAGCTCTCCATCATGATTAAACTCCACACATGATATCAGGTCGGCCTCGGTAACATCGTCTTCCAAAGTACCCTTCACCTGACTAAAACACCATGTAGTCTCACCACCATTGCCTGAAAGAATATTCCATCACAATCTTAAGGCTATACAAAATTTATTTCTATGCTATAAATGATTATATAGAAATAAACTTAAAAAAATTCTTTGAATTTGAATAAATCTCATATATCTATTTAGTATGCTTTTGTAAAACAATTTAAAATATTGTATCATCGGTTAAAATACACTGCATATGTTAATTTTAAACAGTTGATAATGAATGAGTACCACATTTGTGTATAAGAAAAATTAAAAATATATATTTTTGGTACAATACTGTTAAATTTACTGATATAACTTCATAATAAATTTAAATAATGCAGGTTTGTTCGATTCAACAGTTTTCTAAACAATTTTAATTTACTACAAGATGCATTTGTTTACGAGAACTTTAACAGGAATTTAGACATATTTATTTAATTATAAGGATATGTATTAATGTATTAATATAATATAATACTGTAATAGATTCTAACAACAATAAAATATAACTTTAAAATCAATACAAATAATTTTTTAGTGTAAATTAATCATCCTGAAAATTAGACAAAAGTTTCCTACATTTCGCAACAAACAAAAACGTTAGTCGGAAAGTAAAATTAATTAAATTCTCAACAAAAAACTATACATTAATAGTAAAAGTTACATATCCTTTGAAAATCAAGCAACGGCATGTTAGTGATAAGCATTAGAATAGAAGTAGGAACTTGTAAATGCAATGTACTTTAAAATATAATGTGTCTACTTACATATGAAGATATTAAAGATTCTCCCAATTGATCAGATTATATAGAAATAAATTAAATTATAATAATATACTATGAATTATGTACATACAATCATACATTGACGCCCGATGCCTATAGCATATATATTGAAAATTGGTCAAATTATCTTGATTTGCTGATACTAACGATATATTCTTGTTTTTTAACATATTTAAACATATATATGACATAAAGATGAATTCATAGCCACAAATGTGTGGATTCTAGAAAAACAATAGCGGTTTAAACTGGTTTTGTAACGAGAACACAATGCTACTGAATAGTTAGTTGAGAGTAACTTAATATATCTTGATAAACAATTAAACGACTTTATGTTGTACTTTTGTAGCATTATTAATAAAAGTTATTCATATAGTAAACTACAAAAAGTATATATGGAAACGGGGAAAACTTCTAGGTATAGTATTTTGAGCAAAACACTATTGGTAACTCATAAAATAGATTGGATGTCTAACTTGTGCATACCAAAATAAATTAGGTTACAATATACATTGGAATGTATTTCATATGTAATAGAAATTTGGAAATGATAAAAATTACCTAACATAACATTCATGGGAATATCTAAATTTTGGATATCATAATACAAATATATATGTTATACTATTCATTAATTAACTCTTTCAACCAGTGCAGTTTAGATCATCAAACAAAAATTTTCCATAAATGTAAGGACAAGTACAGTACAACATAATGTTTAAAGAAAATGTTTGTATTATGTAAACTTGTATCATATGACCTTAATATGAACCGCGAATCCATAAACAAACAGTAATATTATTATCAATACTAAATTATATTACAGCGACTATCGAAATAGTAAAAATGTCACTCACATAGCATCGTAAGTATCTCTTTGCGATCTTTACATTGCAATAATCAGAAACTGGTTTCATTGTGGGTATACAAAAAAAAAGTTACGCTTACCTGTCTGTAACCTCATCTTTTATGGGATCCTTCGAATTACGCGTTAAAATTAAACCGCACAGAACTGTATTAATGTTAATAGCGAAAATATGTTGACTATGACCTTCGAGGAGATCAACAAATAGTCATCTGATCGAACAAACAATTGTTATTTAACGCAAATGTAGACCACGGTACAGTGGACGTTATAACCACCAATCAATTGAGAGAACCTTTCTTTACTACATACATTAGCGTAAGAATGAAATAAATACAAATTGTTAGAACTATCGGCTATACAATAACCAAACACTTCCCACTCAAATAAATATCGTCACAATACGTAAACACTATTAACTACAAACCACACTAAGTACAAGAACATTGCATTTACCGTCGGAGTTCGAACGATAAAACATCTTCGACTTATTTCGATTTCCGATTCCGATTTCGCCCTTGTCTAGCGGGCGCTAAAAGTCAGCACTTACCGGCCATGACAAAGCCCAGCACAAAAACTATAAGAAGTTTAATAGTTTAAGTACACAATCACTTCAGTAATTTCCTAAAACATTACACAGAATAGCCGATGAAAACTGATTAAAATCATTTCAGCGTTACATCGGTAAAAAGCAATGGCGCTCAGAAAATTCAGAAATGCATAATTACTGCAGAGTTCAGTGTTGCCATATTAAAATTTAAAATTTCTACTTATTCTTCCATGTTTTACTACGCAGTTATATTTATTGTATATTTTATAAACAGAGATTATGGCGTATCTTTTAATATACGACGTATTTTATGAGATTGTATATATTAATACATAAGTATTTGACACTTAATCATATTTTGCTTAGGAAAACAGCAAACTTCGTGAACGAAACGGAACTTGTTTGTGATATTTTTTAAAAGTAACAATACTAATTAAATTAATACATTTATATATTCATAAACAATAAATTAATATGAGAATCAAATAATAAAAAAAAATTAGGTTTCATTTATTACTTAAGTATATATTTTTAACAGATTATTTTAGCCTACAGATTAAAAAAACGTCTGGTCGTTGGCAACGTTTTATAGCTGTTAAATTTAAATTTTCAAATTTTCTATGGTTACGAATCTTGAATGGCGTTTAGTGTATTTGCTATACAAATTCATAAATGGCTACACCGCTATTTGATAAGGTGAGAGATATTAATTATCATATAGATCGATTTATTTACACTATTTTAAAAAAATAAACTAAATGCTAAACTACTTACCATTTTTATTCCCGTGATCGAATATGACGCTTAGTTTTTGTAAGCTGTTTTGTCTCGCTTCAGCGAAGAGACGGCGTTTATTTTTTGGCGAAGGTTGAGAAGCCAACGGAGACACCACCATGGCTGTTGTCGCCATAATTACACCATGACCTAGACACAATATGGCGTACCTATGACAATTTTGCAAATTACAAAAATGACTTTACCATATCATTTGTTTATTTAAAGAAATTAAATTCGAAATGTTCATAAACACACATAGTACTAATACAAGAAAAATATTTGTGCATTTATATTTGATATTTTTAAGATCCATATTTTTAAAATACAATGTGACTGAAAAATCCTTTTAACTGAGATTAGTTCGAGGTTTTTCACAAAGTTTCGAGAATTTTAATTATCATTACCAACGAAAATGTTGATAATAATATTAGGGGAATTCTATAAACACATGAGGTTTCATATATGTTTTATTATATGTATATCTCTATTAACCAATGATAATTTTATTATCAATGCAACTTAAGTAATGGTGACGTAATACAAATGTATATGATTTACATGGCGGCCCTATTTGTATAGTAACGACGTATTCAATATCTGTGTGGTCTGCAGTACTTAGTTAAATTTAATAGGTTACTTATGCCAATAATTATCTATTAATATTTAAATATCCACCCATATATTATATTATGCAAATAAAATAGTAGATATTTAATTTTTTAATATATTATCATCAAACAACATTTATTTACATTTAATTTTTAATGTTTTATTTCCTTCTTATATTTAGTGAGGTAATTTGCCGAGAGATGGCGTTGTTCCGAATGACACAACTAATTATGATTTTAATCACGTAATGTGTTGTAGAGGCCATATTATCTACATTTGTTTTTAATAATTTATATAAATGCTAGATGAGAGTACATACTTTATTTATGCAGCCAATATAAATATTGCAAATTAAAAGCAGGTTATAATATTAAATTATCTATATGTAACTGTTTATCGTCTATAGAATCATATATGTATATTTTTATCTTATCTTGATCTAGAGTACAATTAAGTAAGTAGAAAAATCTTAAGTCCTAACATAACAGATTGAAAAAAACAATGATTATTATAAATAATCATTGCTCATTAAAGAAATGATTCACAAAATTTACATTTTTTATATTTCTTATCTAGGGATTATTCTATGGGTATTATCACTAGATTGTGAAATAAAATTTGACAAACTTCCGACTTTTTCGTTCATTGCATCAGCGTAAGAACTACAAAGCTGTTATCTACACAAACCCACATTTATAAGCTGTAGATAATTTAATTGCAATTCGCCTCTAAGACCTACAAATCTCTATCCGTTGTATAGAATATAAAATACAAAATGGTCAACAATGGCGGCCGAAAATTATTAGAAAGAAATTGAAGGTTAATAAACTACAACAATTAATTTTATTATATGCTCGTCTCGTTTTAATTAATCCAATGTCCGAGTCTGAGAACAAATGGACTCAATGGAAACCGATTATTACCGATTTCATGCGATTCGGTGCAGTTATTGTAAGCAACGCGTGTATCTGATTGGCTGTCAATTTGAAAGTTATTAATATAACAAAGTCTGAAAATGGCTATTTATTTTTATTCATTACATTATTTAGAAGATATTTTTTTACAGTTGAGTTAATGTCATATAGATAAGTTATGTAAAAAAAAGAAAACGCGCGCCAATTGACATGATTTTCCCGCCATATTTTAACACCATTTAAGCGACGCGGGCCAACTGAATACAAATTCATTTTAATGAGAACTTTTTTTAACAAATTATTTTATTGTTTCAGAATTCAGCCGACCAATTGACCAAACAAAGAGCTATTTGTATGGAAAGTATGTTATCTTATCAAGATATGTCCTTTATTCGCTGTAATTTATTTACAGACCTATTTAAAAACAAAGCCATGTATAGTGTATAAAAGTTTGCATATAAAAAGTTTTTATTTTAATATTCATTCAAATAAATTGCCATAGATAATCTTGTTAGTCACATATTATATTCTTCATTTTATTTTATCGAGTTTTCAACATTTAAGAGACATTATCTTGATTTTTTTTTTGACTAAGTAAAAGTTATTTTTAAGTTTATTTGTATACTTTTAACGGCTATTTTAAGTATTCTCTGATGCTAGTTTAGTTTTAATCTCATAATATCAAATGGTATTCTATAAAATACATTAAATTCCAGGAGATTGTCAATCAAAGAAAATGTATGACATACTAAAATCTTGTGAGAGGCGGGTTAATTCTAAAACTTATACCGCGGAAACATGCAGTCAAGAGGTCATTGACCTGCTTGAAGCATTGGACCACTGTGTCGGCGATAAGGCGTTTAAGGAGTTTAAATAAAATTGTAAACATTGTTGTTTTATTTATTCCAAATAATGACTTTGAGGTAACTCATAGTTTTCAAGGTCACTTCCGCCATTTCTTTTTGGTGTCATAAATGACAGTACTGATTAAATACTTAATTGCTATTTATCGTAACATGTTTTTAATAACAAATTATGAGTTATTAAATTATTATTTTCAATTAGTATATTTAGTATAATATATATTTTTTAAATACACGTCAAAAACTAAAGTCGTTTCAACGCCGGCGTTGTGCGTTTTATTTGTGTAATGTGTTATCACTTTATTGTAATTTATAAGTTGTAACTGTCATCGTTCCGCTTTTAAATGTAAGTATTTTATTAAGTAATGGCGTCAGGCAATTAATTAAATTACATGTACACTACCGCAGTGAATAAGCTGACGAGTTATTTAAAGAATAGCCAATAGAGGAATGGTTTGTAAGAGAAATGTAATTATTTTAACTATTAACTATTATAAGTGTAAGTAACTTCGTATTATTATTTTAATATGAAAAAGGCAACAGTCTTTATTTATAAAAGTGGCGCCGCACTTAATTAGCCTTGACCATTTGAATTAAATGATTTGATTTAATTACTCTAATACTGATAGGAAAAATCTACATTATATTGAAAAGTCACATGATTTTTTTTTTTATTTGATATACCAAAACTAAGTTCTATCCACGGTTTTTTTTATGTAAGCATGTTCTGTTTATCAATATTAAAATTTTACACGGTTTTATAATACAAACTTAATTTTTGGTGTATTAAAACTATTATGTGGCATAAAAGATTTAGTATTGATACTTGTTGAAACTGTAGAACAAAAAGTATTTGACTACGATTATTTATGGAGCAAGGCTGTATAACTAAAACAAGACAAAATGTCACATGCGTATCTGAAGTGACAGCAAATGACATTGACAGTTAATTATCACAGTTTGACAGATTCAATTACTTTTCCTTAATACAAGTATATGTATCTAATATATCTATATCTATATTAAATGTGCCCTACATTTCTGAGATGCGTCGTTATAGCTTAATTGATTTATAAGGTAGCTGGCGCATGTGACTAATTTTACCAAGAATTGATAAGTATAATAAAAAAATAAATTGAACTTATGATATGTTATCTGTGTAAACGGAAAAAGGTATGTTTAGTCAGATATAGGGTTGTAAATATAAAGGAAGTTCCAATATTGTTATAAATACTTTTTACTAAGAAATAAGGTTCGTAGTAAGAACCCTAATAAGTGAATTAACATTTTCTAATGCCTTATTTATATTAGGTAAAAGTTGCGTTCTACCTATACTATCGAAATTCTTATTCCTATTTGACGTACAGACTTAGTTAATTTTACGAACATATTAAATTAATTGAAAACATAGCTTATAGCTATATAAATTTTATTTATAAACAGGAAGTATTACTCGCAGTAAGAAGATTTTTTGTATATTTTGCTTTAAGTCGCATTAAACTGAAGCCAGCTCATTTAGAAGCAAAAATACGTCAAGCTGAATAATTATCAACCCCAAGCGGCTTACAGTCTGCTAAACAATAAAAAGACTAAAAATAAACCACTGGATACAGCCGAGGAAAAGCAAAACGATACTAAAATAGCTATATACATACCTATATACATATATATATATCTATATATGTCAAAACTATATAGTGTTATTTAATAAATATGTATGCTGAATACATTGATCATAATAATAAATTTATACTTAGTTGGTCATTTGAGTAACATTCTAGAATAAGAAAAAAACATTGCATATATTTAGAATACAATAATAATTCAAGTTTAAAATAAATTCTATTCAAGAGGCGATCGTAATGTGAAGATAAAAAATAAAGCAATACTATTAAAATATTATTGTTATTTTGATTTATTTTTTATCATTTTAATTAATTATTGATATAAATACTTTTTGCGGTTTTGTCATAATGACATTAAATTTGACAGACGGATATTTTTTTTTATCTGTATATGAAATGTCTTTTTTCATGATCATAAACCTGACAGATAAAAAATGTAATATCACAGATAATAAATGCACAACCTTAGTCCACAATCCACAACTATTCCATCGATGTGTGGTGTGATTAATAAATCCTAATTCAAGGTTAGCTACGTAGATCACGATTTGTAGGCGTCAGTTACAAAGCAACTATTGATATGCCGTATTAAGACTGTTACAAATCAAAACAATTAATATAAAATTATTCTTAAAGCACATATTAAGAGTATTTATTTATTTAAATGTTAATAAACAGAATTCCATGCATTTTTATGTCCAAACTAAACGGTATTTTTCCATCATAAATTCATAAATAAATCAATATATTAACTTTATTATATTATATAATACTTATTGAAAATCTTAACCTATATTATCTTTTACTTTAAATTTTAATTCCTCATTTTGAGAGTATATATACTTTTCGTTTATAGTTTTTTAACGCAGTTACTTTCGTAGATTGTGACTTGTCTATAAATCTTTTATGATGATCATTATCTATCTTTTTAATGTCTCATTGAGGTCGAAGGTATTACGGAAGGTTGAAAACTGAGGAAATAGTGTAAAACAATCATAAACAAAGTCACGTGAGAGCGTCCATAGAATATCAATTAAATTATTATAATAATACAGATTAAAAACATTTTCCCCTTCAATATGTTTAGTCCGAGTACCGTCATACTACGCTCGAAGCGTTTCCTGTTTCTATAACTTATAATTAATACTATTTATGAATGAAAAACTGTTAAAACTTCGAAGATGTGTATCCATGAAAACTTGGAGTAAGCAAAAGGTAAGTATAACATTTGATAACTGAAGCTACTTTAATATATTTTTCTATATTAGTGGAATTAAAGGCCGAAAACAATTTGATAATTCTGAAATATGGAATACTCTCAATTTATAAATTAAAAAAAGTATTTTTAGACTTGCGTTATATCGTATAGTGAAAACTCCATGGAGGTTTTACTATTCTATATTCTATTGAGTTATACCTATCATTACCAATATCACGGGAAAACTATAAAGATAGACAATTCGATATTGGTAATATTTTTTTCACGTTCCTCATTGGATTAGTTTTACGGAAACTATAAAAATGCAATTATCTTCAGCTGACAATTATGTCTTCCTTATATACGATGTAAACTATTTAGAAAGAAGGAGCTAGAATTAAAATGTCTAGATAAATTCAGATAACAGATTATTTACTTATAAACAATATTAAGAAAAACACAAAATATTCACAAAAAAAGCCTTTTTTTATCTTATCAGAGCCCACTGCTGAGCCAAGGCTTCTTTCTCACATGGAGAAGGTTTGAGCATTAATCACCACGCTAGCTCAAGACGGGTTGGTGATTTCAAACATATAATTGTGAAATTATAAGTCCAGGTTTCCTCACGATTTTTTTCTTCACCGTCTGTCAGTGGGGTCTAAATACTCTTAGAAAGTGCGGAAAAATCACATTGGTACTTGCCAGGATCGAACCGGAACCTCGGCAACGAGAGGCGGGCCCTTTAACCACTAGGCCGCCACTGACTTAAAAAAGCATTACAGTTCAATAAAATATCACTTTTATAAAATCTACAAAATAATTACCTAATATAAAACGGTAGGTAGCTATTGAATTATAAATAACTACATTTATGACAGATAGAATTATAAAGGCTTCTTGTACAAATTGAATTCATACATCGAGTAATATTATTACAACTCATTAATATACAACATATTTGTTTTAAATACACTTACAATGTATATATACAACAAAATATAACTCATAATTACTGTCTCTGTTTATATCAAAAGAATAATATATTTGAGATCTTTTAATATAGATAATAGGTGCAAAGGTCTCGCTTCCAATGTCAGTGACTCATTTAATCTTGACCTACATTATACTGCATTTTAAACCGGGATAGTTGATATGAGACGCCATTATAGTTTGACATATATAGAAAATTTTAGTTTTTTTTTTTTATAAATGTTTTTACGGCTCTGGATTCGAGTCCTTTTGAGCCTAGAAGAATAGGAATATGGTGTTACCATAAATTACTTGCTAATTCCTCTTATTACTAATTAAAAAATATTTTGAGTTTAATAAAATGAAATTAACATATACTAGTGCTTGCAGTTGTAATTATATATATAATTTATAACATTAATCCGGTTTTCTTAATGATCATAATTTATAACGATAGCGATTTTTATAATTGGCCTTATTTTATTTGTAAAGATTTAAAAGAATTTTATTCCAAACTGTCCTCTTTTCGTAATTTGATAACAGACGAGTACGTGTAGAAATATTATTATTTTAAAAATGTTTTAGTGGTCATGAAATAAAATATTATCTCAATTAGATTTTTTTTTAATGATTCTCAAATGAAAACAAATGAATTAAAAATGAGTACAAATTTCCAAACGACATTTTAAGAATTGAGTGAGGCTTTTACAAATATTTAACCTACATCGAAAGTTTACAACTTATCAGTCAATAATATATTGCATTTGTATTAGTTTTCTGTGTCAAACACAATAAATCAATGGTTTATTTTGTAAATAGGAAGCGAAATATTAATTTTTGTGTACGACCTTTATTCAAGGCGACCGTGTTTACTTACGTATGGTTGTATCAACGTATTGAGCTAGTACTAACATAGTATGTAATTTTACATTTTCTAATAAAATAGTACGTTACATACAAATATTACTTAAGTCAAACAAAAGTCTGCGTTAATATTTTCATTTATTTTTTATTTGTCGTCAATATTTTTCAATAATAATTTTGTATCAAATCATAACATTTTTATTAATACAAATACTTGCTCAACTTTTACTACACACCTTCGAGATTCCAAAAACTGATTATTCGAGGTTAAAAAACATTTATTTTTAAATCACTAATAAACCTCTTAATGTCACAATTTTAAACAAGGAGGATGTAATCTAGGTTATTTCATTATTCCCAAAGAAATTTTGTATAATGTATAACTACTTCTATATATATAACTTTTATACATTTTTAATTTACCGGTTGCAATTATAACATTCAAATTTATTCTCTCTACGTATTTAAAAGCGTTTCACATAGCTTTATGCCATTATATTTTATTATAAATAATATATTTGATATGATAAATATTATCATAACTTTGGAGAATTAGAAAACAATCTGTATATTGATTTCTCATTTAAGATAAATTATGTCCTACATAAAAAAATACAATATAATACTCACCGATAACCATTAGTTGGAATTGAAACCAGTAATTCACAAGAAAATATTAAGCCGACGTAAAATTTCAAACACACATTTTAAACAGAGTTCACAAAGTATGGCGCGTGCTTACACGACGAATGTCACAACAATAAGTGCATGTAAACATTGAACATTTGACAGTGAACACTGAAGGCTATTGACCGTTATCTTTATTGTTATAAGCGCCATCTAGCGGTTATTTCGGTAACCGATGATTTACTTTATTACCAAAACTATGTAGGTACCTGTACCGCTTGGGAATGGTGCAGTAGTTCTTCTGTTTATTGCGAACAGACAGAAAGACAGACGCGGCAAGGGACTTTGTTTTATAATAGGTATTGATTGATATAGAAAATTTAAACAATCCTAATATACCATCGATTTGACACATAACAATCGATAAGATCGAAATTTATCACTTATTTCAAATCGTAGCCATTGGTTTATAATTTATATTATATATACATGTGTATATTTATATATGAATAATAATCTTCCTTTAAAATGAAAGTTGAATTCAAATTACTTTAATTATAAAGGAATTAATATTTTATAAAATTGATTTATTTAATTTTCATAAGTATTTTATTAATTTTGATTGCTTTTTCTCATAAGCGGTTTTTTTTAATCGAAACCCGTATTGGCTGTTATGTATAAAGCATCGCATATTTTTATTTTATATGCACATGCATACTTAAATAAATTTTTTGAAAAATAAAGATAATATGATTTACTTATTAATGAAATAATAGATTTTCGCCTGTAGTCATTGAAATAGAACTAATATTTATGGGATTCACTTTGTTTTTACACTTATTTTGAAAAACATACTCTCGACGTCTCTTAAGTATTTCAATGTAGGTATAGATATTATTGGCTAACTTATAATTCTATGCGTTTGAAATGAATGTTTATATAAAAACCAGTCTAAATAACTGAAAGAAATAGGCTGTAGTTAAAATGACTTTTCTTATTTTATATGAATAACTAACCTAATAGCTCATACCATATCTTACTAGTCTCTCAGTATTCAATTTTAAGAAAAAAGTTAATATACCAAGGTGAATTAAAAAGAAACCAAATATCAGGCGCTTATTTTTATACAAAGCCTATTTTAATTCTTTTCCTTCCTGAAATATTTTTAGAAATTATTTTTTGTAATAAAAAGGGGTGTTTGATTTAAACAAAAAAAAATCATTGATAACTTTAATACAATAAGCACAAATAAAAAAAATAAACATTATATTACTAATAAAACCAACAGATTATCACATACAAATGAAATATTAAATACAATATTTTTATTAGAATAGGTTATAATAATAACAATAATAAAAAGGCACTTTCAAAGTAAAAAAAATGGCGGTTTTTCTAAGCCACAGATGACAGAAAAAGCGAAAAATGAGTAACAGTAGGATAGAAAATTAAGAAGCAATAAATGCTTTTGATACAATTATGAAAGAAAAATTAGCTGGAAAATTCTAAGTAAATCTTATTTATATCAACACAATATAACACATTCATCCTTATAAAAAACTTAGTAATTATTCCTGATTTGATGAGATTCATTATTTAATGTGATAACACTCTCAAGTGAATTACAATGATACTTCTAGAACATTCCACGAAACATATTCATTAAAAGACGCATTTTCTTACTGTTTTCAAGCTCTTCTAGTCGTGAATTATTTTTCGATATATCATACAAATACATTTCCTTTCTCCATTCTGATTCAATCTTGCTGTTTTTGTGTTGCAGGCTGTTGAAGTGTTCCAGCATATTGTCCCAGGAAGATTCAACCATGTTGCAAAATCCGCAATGAAATAAATCGTTCTGAATCTGAAAAATTTATTGTAAATAATGTTATCTAATTAAAAAAAATAAACTATGAAGTATATCAATACACAACCGTATTTCCCTTCCATAGAGTTTCTGTGATCACTTTTAAATAATTCAAAAAAGAAAAAACAAATATTGTTAATATTTGTTTTTTATATATATATGTGTATGTATATATATATATATATATATATATATATATATATATATATATATATACATACAGGGTGACTGGTGAATTACTATCGATACTTGAGGACGTGATATTTGACGATCATATATGACAAAATAAAAATTAATATAACATAAATATTAATAAACTTCTAAATAAAGTTAACCAAAAGTTATGTAATTAATTACGCATCGTGTGAACACCCCACAGATTAGGTACACAAACACACACACACACACGTGCGGCGGCGTGGTGTTGTATCAGCACGCCACCGTACGCGTCCATACTTGGAACGTGTCCGCACTTTATTTATTTATACGGAAATTTGGTCAAAAATTAAGTACCTATTTTTTTTACATAATTCGAATGAGAATCATCTACCGAGTATTCTCCTTAAATATTGATAGTAATTCACCAGTCACCCTGTATATAACCTGATTATGAAAAATAACTGAACCGAAATTAATACAACAATGAATACAAACCTGTCTCACAAATTCATTTTCATCATTAGTTATTACTGGGACGAGACTAGCCATTTTTGAATGTCGGTCTGTTGAAAAATGACTTAATTTGGTGAATACTTTACAGACTTTACATTCTAACTCAGTGCCATTTGATGTTATAAATATGAAACTCTCAAATGACAAGCAATACTTGTTGTTTACAATAACGTCGTTGAAAATCATATACTTCACACAAGTTGCACTCTCAACAAACTTGTGGGTTGGTGTCCTTTCCAATTTGATTTTAAGCTTCTTGGCTGTTTCTGATATCTTTTTGTTTAGAACATTACATTTTGGTGATTTAAGTTCATCATCATCAGTTTTTGTTTCAACATTTACAATTTCTGTTTTTTTTAGTTTTTCCTTAACATCTTCACTTGTATCATTTTTCTTTTCTTTAACATCATCACTTTTATCTTTTTCGTCAGATGGTTCATTGTTTAACTTACATTCACTTTGTTTTTTAATATGGCCATCATGTTTAGCAATGTGTTCTTTTATTTCGTCAACAGAATATGACAAACAATCTGCACATTTCATACAAATAACGGATTTGCTTTCCAAATTGATGTAAATTCGATTCTCCTCAAATTCTTTGATGAAGTTGAATATATCTTTATCTGTTCCACCAGCCTCAATCAGTTCCGCGATACGTTTCCTGTGCTGTTTAACGTTTTTCTTATGCATTCTACTATTTCTATGTCTGTGTTGATCTACCGGGTCCACACCTAAGCAGCATACAATACATATAAGATACCCCTGCTTGTTCTTATATAGATAAATATTTCTTTCGTCTGATTTATCGGATGTCATCTCATTGGAGGCGATGCCTTCCAGATTTTTGTCATCTTCGTTTATGTCATTATCTTTTAAATCTTCTGCAACATCACTTTTCTCTTCATCGTCATTAGATTTATTTGAAAGAAGACACTTTCGATAATGTTTTTTATGATCATCTTTATTAAAATGGTTCGTTCTATCGCTTAGACCGAGGACCATGTTACATGTCAGGCATTGAAACAGCTGTTCATCTATCTGTTAAAAAATGTAGTTATCAGAAAAAAAGTATTATGTTCACTATTACTGGAATTTAAAAAATGTGCAAGAGAAAAGATTTGATAATGACAAATGTAATGTTTTAAAATACCTATATGTAATATAAATATAATAAGTAATATATATTAATTACCTTTCTATATATATTCTTATTCTTATCAACTTCAAGAGTGCTCTGAATCAAGTTTATAATATGTTTCGCTTGGTTTTTGTGTATGTCTTCATTTTCGTATTCTGTGTTGCAAACAGCGCAGGATTCAACATTAAGACCGTTCCAGGACCTCTCATTGATAACAATTTCACCAAAGGCGACTACATTTGGACCATTTCTTTCGAAGATCATCAAAGTCTTATTATTCATATGCGATGATTCTGTCACGTGAAGTCTCACTCTAGCCAAAACTGTTAGCAATTCGTTGCAAAACTCGCAAAAATATCCGACTCTCGTCTGAAAGAAAATAAACATTAAATGAATGACAAGTAATAAATGTTTGAATTATTAGAATAGATTGGGTGTCATTGAAAATTTTATTTCATTCATCCAAGAAGTTCTTAAAACCATAGTATAATACAGCAATATTCTATAAAAGCTCTTTTCCTGCCTGGCAGGAACTTTCAATATACATATTTTGGTAAGAAAATGAATATTCCTTTAACAGAATAAGATTAATTCTATGTAAATTGATCAGTCGTAGCAATCCTCTTTATTTCCTGACCACGCCGTCTTAGGTAGTTGTAAAGAACCTTGCACAAAATTCCCTACTTTTCCCTACTAATATTATAAATGCGAAAGTAACTCTGTCTATCTGTCTGTTACGCTTTCACGCCTAAACCACTGAACTGATTTTAATGATATTTAGTACAGAGATAGAGTTGTCCTTGAGAAAGAACATAGGATAGTTTTTGTCCCAGACTATTGAAAGGTTCTCTTGGAAACGCGATATAACCGAACTCCACGAGGGCGAAGCTGCGGGCGAAAAGCTAGTACATAATAAAGAGTGCAATTTCATCTAAACCGATTTACAAATATAAGGTTTTAGTAAATTTAATTCCAAAACGTATACAATTTCGAAAATGATCCTTAATTAATGTACGGTAAATTACATAGAAGTGAAATTTATTTTCGGCGTACTTTATAAAATACTGAAAAAATCATTCAATTATAAAGATTAAATAATTTAGTCTCGGAAAATTGGAAATATTAACTTCAATACCCTTAAATGTAGATCAAATATGAAATGAGATCCGTAAGTTTTTTCCTGTCATAATGGAATATTTGTAGACTACCTTGAGAAACATTTCACAATAATAAAAATTTTAGTGTGTGTATTATTGAAATAATCGTTTATTTATTACATACATATGAATATTATATATACAGTACATATAGCAAAATAACACTTACAATTTTTATCCATCTGTAATGTTTGTTTAGGGAACCTACCACCTACCTTCTACTACCTCTGAATCGGCTGGACCAGTTTTGATTGTATTTTTACTGACGAGTAGATGATGCAATAAGAAGTATCTTAAGGTAGTTTTTATCCCGATAACGAAATAGTCGTTATAAGCCGCTAAGTTTTTCAATGTTTTTCATAAGCAGACGGAGTCACGAGTAACAGCTAGTAACTGATAATTTTAATTGATTGATAGATTAATCTGCATAAATTTAATAATATCTAAGATTTAAATAACTAAAAAAAACTTTTTTCCTATTAATACCCAAAGCGTTACGAGAGCAAAATATTTTTATTCTTCCCTTAGAGATTTCGTTTTGTTCAGAGGGTCAAAGAAATGTTCACGATATGTCAATCATTTCAGATAGGCTAAGTATAAATTTTTTCATGCTAACCTTTGTTCTGAGATAATAGGATTATTTAAAATATTATTTCCAAAGAAAACTCTGGACATAATATTAATACATATTCAAATATATATCAATAATTCATGACAACTATTTAAATCTAAATAAAATTTCCTTTAACATTATTTCATTTCAAAAAATATCTCTGGGGATTGTAAAATATGATTATCATTTATCATGTTTGACATGCTAGGCTGGCGGGACAGCATGTGAAAAAAGACATAGAACCAATGAGTTTTGTGCTAATGCTCCTATTAAAATGGTTCCAAAATATCATACAACATTTTGAAGATTTTAAATCAAGAAAATATACCTAACTAAAAGTATTGAGTACTCAGAAATTTTAAATAACTATTATTTTGGTAATAACCTACAACACTTAATATTAAATTATAAGATTACTTATATTATTACATACCTATAAAGATGCATGTTTACTAATAAAAGAATGACTACTAATAAAAGAATGACTGAAAGGTAGCTTCTAACCAACTAACATAAGTATTATTTAAAAATATATCCACACTCACAAAAACAATAATGAAAATAATCATTACAACAAATTAAATATAGAAAAATTGTTACAAAACTTGATTAAAATTAATAAATAAAGTAAATTCGTTACTTTTTAATTATAATGAAATTATAATAAAACTTAGTAAAGATTTTTTTTAATAACAAATGTGTGAGTATTTCTCAGCAAATATATGACTGTATACATGAAAAATATTATTCAATATTAGTATAATACAACATAATAATATTTTTTTTTAGCAATGTCATCAACATGAAGAAAATTTTAATTATATATAACTTAAAGGAATGTACCCTTTCATTCGTTAACATACATTTAGTCCCAAAAAAAAAGAACGGACTGTTCAAAATGATATTTATAAGGCATATTCATAGATGTAAGTTGCATAAAAACTTTATAAAGGTAAAGTGCTAAAAAAAGAGTTTATCGGCAACCTTTGGCATTAAACTTAGATACAAAGTCATTATCTCTCTCTTTTTATATTAAACTACATAAATACTTTAAGAACTTTTAATTTTAAATGGTTGCCTTACAAAATGTAACTATTATGTTTTTTATATAAGCAAAAGGCAATTTTTTGATCACTTTACTATGTTATTCCTCTTCAGATAGTTTTTAGTTAAGATTCATATTGAAGGTACACACAACAAAATATGGCAGTGTACTTGTTGAAGATCACATCACATCTCTTCATCTATTTAAATACCATAAAATAATTAAGGCATAAAAAAATGTTATAGTGATTTATAAGCAAATTGAACTAGTTACACTGCATTATTAATTTCTTTATCATTATTTCAAGAAGAAATAATTTTGGAAGATAAACAATACATATATTATAGTGATTTATAAGCAAATTGAACTAGTTACACTGCATTATTAATTTCTTTATCATTATTTAAAGAAGAAATAATTTTGGAAGATAAACAATACATATATACATAGATTTATGTTGTATATGAAAAGCAAATAATACAAAACATGATGGTAAAAGTCCTGAGTTCAACGAGTGGAGTGGAGTAAGTTGTAATTTAATATAACATGATACAAGATCAATAACCAAAATCAATGGAAACCAAGATTGATCTCTTAGTTAACAAACATGTAGTTTGGATTTCTCAACAAAATTATTAATAGTCGACAAAATGATTCTGTTGACTTACCAGCATTTTAAAGTAATTTAAATTTCAATAGTATGTAAAACAAACCTTCCTGATGCATTCATCTTCAAACTCCTTCACATACTGTGTACTCTCAAAGTTTTTCTTGTGTATGGGTTTAGATACATGTTTCATGTAGTCTTCCTCCGTCTTGAGGTGTGTTTCACACACAACACAGAAGTAGTCAATAGTTCCTTTAAGTACGGCATTCTTACTGTAGCTTGTAGCCATCTCTAGAAGGATATATTGTAACAGTTACTATACTTAATAAAACAATGTATATATATATATATGTGTGTATAACTTTGAATGTTAATAAATCCGCTCATAATGTCCTCTAGTTGAACAGATTGCAAAACCACAGGATGGATGATAAGAAATATTAAACATACCAAAGTTGTAGGTAATGATAATGACCGTTACAAAGCTGATAAACTTAAATAATTATTGTGCTCTTTACCTTTTCCACCCGGTAGTCTAAATTGGATTATTAAGTAAAATAATATTCTTGGGCAAATTACAACTGATATATTATTAGACAGGAACTTAACTTCCAAGGAGATCACAACAATAGTAAGTATTATATTAAATGTTATGCCTAACTCAGCACCGGCCACCGAGTAAGCAGACTAATGAGATGCAAAATCCGTCAAATGATGAACTTACCCATATGTTAAAGTTTAGGGTAATCCCCGTTTAGTCTATGAAAAGTGGCCTAAAATACGTATTTTAAAAAATAAACTATTATTATTATTATTTTTAACTAATATTATCTATTATTACAATTATATATTTACCTAATGGATATCCATAATTTAAAAATAAATTAACATTATTTAAAAGTTACAAATTTAAAAATATCTTTTTTAAGTAAATGAATTAAAAAGTTCCTATTTTAATTTAAATTTTACACTGATTTTTATTTATATATTTCAATTAATTTTATTACAAATATAACAATTTATAAGCTGATATATTATATAAAAATAGTAGGAATTTTCAACATCTAAATGAATGTTGCCTAAGCTGAAATGGTTTATATTAAAATTTTTAAAATTAATAGCACTTAAGAAGAAATGGTGTGAGTTTGGTCTATCAATTACATATTTAAAAAATCATAGGCATTTTTATTCTGTATTTCTTAAATCATTCAACCTTATTACATTTAAAGAAAAATTGATTTTGTAACCATGTAGTAAGTAGTTTATGGTAATCAACTAATGCACATTCAGAATAATAATAGTTACATTAGAATGTATTTTAAAAGGTTATGGTTATAATTGTACGTATTATGGTCTTGTTGTGAGATGAAAGTTCGTCGAGAGATATTGGATATTTTGAGCTGCGCGTGTCTTTCAAGGCGATTAATATCAAAACTTTTCTGGCAACACTATTAAAAAATATTATAGATCTTTTAATATCCTTGGAAATGGCTGTATGGGCTTTGTTTTCTTTGCCTGTTCTGAACGGAATTAATTTAACAAAAAAAATCTCCTTGGAAATATGTTCGGTCTGTCTATTATCAGAATATTCTATAATTCCATACAATAAAACCTGTTTTCTCCAATTTCTGAGAGATAACTGTCTTATTCTATTTTGTAGACATTATTTTAATTTCATTTAAGTATTATTAAAAAAGTTTACTTGGTATAAAATATGTTTAACACTTAAAATTCGGATATACAAATATTACTTATACTTATTAAAGGAAAATAAAACGATGATTGGTAGAGATTATTTATTTATATTTTTTAGCTGACAAGCATATAACTTGGGACATATAAAAGATGTAAAATCACAGGGCATTCTTCAATGTACACACTTGTCACTCATTATAAAACATCAGTTTATTAGATATTAAACTAGAGCTAACTTATTGTTACTTTCCAGCGGCCGTAGCTAGTGGGTTCCGGAGAACTAAAATAACTGAATCACCTCGGAGGAACATCTTTGATATAAACTTGTCTTTGTTCACGGCTTTACCCTGAAAATGAACATTATTATAATTCTAATGTAAGTGAAAACTTTTAAAACAAAACATGAAACAGTTAACCTATATATTGTTAGTTAATAAATTTCAAATGTTTTTTTATAAGTTTTTATGAGATCTTTTTACAAAGCTTACTTTTTTCCCTTTCCCCGTCCTAGGAACTTCGGTCCACATTTCTTTAACATTTTCTAACACCATATTACAATGCCGGTCGAAGGCTTTTACACGACCCAATAGTTTCTTATTGTTACGACAATTTATTAACACTTGTGTATTATTTTTGACGGACTGTGTGAGCACCGAGAGCGGACCTGTGCTGAATTCTTCCTCTTCAATCTTAGCTAGCTCCTCTAGAGTCATTTCAGAGCGTGGCTTCGATGTAGTCGCCCTAGTAAACGATAATATTTGATTAAATACTTATTTTTATTATATTTTTCTGGTATGAAAAGTACCATACTTACATTATTATTAAGATTTATATCTGGTCGGTAAATAACAATTCAATACAAGTATTTAATTCCTTCACAGAATTAATCGCGCGTTTACAATGCTTACTTCTATGTTTGACGTTTTAAACCATAGATTAGAAACGATTACTGTCAATTGAGAATTATTTTAACAGACTATACACAATCATTAACGGAGTTATAGGATTTTTGTTTCTAGTGATTCTCTCGTATAGGACAACAATCCTAAAACTTTTTATCGTTACATCGAATTTATTTTAATTTATTTAAAGACCAATAATAATAATAATTTATTGTTAATACAGTTGTCACACATTTTGAATTGAATTTCTTTGCGACCCTACAAAATTTTCACAGCCTCTCTGGATCGTGTCCCAAACTGGTTTGTGCGAATGACTCGTTCGACAGTTTTTCAGAATATGCTGCTCGGAGTGTCAAGTAAACTAGTGATTTTATTATGAATAAGCTTCGGCTAATATTCGACAGCAGAAGTAATTAGACATTACATTACAACATCTGTTTCTTTTGGGCGCCGATTGCTGTCTAGTATAGGGACTGATGCTATTACTACTACTTCACCCGATCGAGGAGTAAACTACGTGATAATGTGAGCTTGGTGGTTTGTATCCTCTCAATCGGCCAAAGAATTACGACGCCAAAGTTTGAAGCGGCTTATTTGATGTATTTCTAACTTGTACAACATTTGACAACCCAAACTCGGAGTGCCAAAACGCGCACTAAATGCCCAGTGTCTTAAGTAACCATGATAAATTTGTTATTTAGCCTAAAAATTATCCCCTAGCTGTCAACCAGCTGTTGTGAATAATAAATCAAGGCAAAAAAGTATCGTTTTGTTTTCCTATTTACGATTCAGAATGTGATTGAATATTACACAGGCTTAGAAGTTTTGAAGAATGAGAGTTTACGTATATTACTATCGAAAATGATTAAACCGAAATGATGACAGAGGATAAGACTAGTTTTAAGTAAATTTTTGATCTACAACTATTACCTCAGACTTTTTGACTAAAATAACCCTATCTGGAAGCTCTACTCTATACTTTTTTACATCTTCTATTACCTCACCCCCAAATATGAAAATCTTTTTGATAACTACCTTAATTTAAATTGTACATTACATTTTTAAAATTATAATTTGCATTCTAACTGACATACAGTGTAAAAGCAGTTGACGTTACCATTTGAATGTGTATCTGATTGTATCTGTATAACCAGAGTATCTGATTAAACGAATATCTTTGGAGTGTTCAGTACGTGGAAAATATCTAAAAAGTGGTACCTATGAGTTTTAACAATAGGATAAAAATAAATTTCAGTACACAACTTAGTTTTGTTTTTATCATATTATTAGACTATAAGGTGTGAAACAGTTAAGATATAAAAGCAATCATTTGGCCGAAATCCCACTCTCGACATAAATTGTATATTTTAGACGTATTTGCTTAAAATTGCTTTGCTTTAAATAAACCATTTTAATATGGATTTTCTTTTAGCAATATATTTTTAGAAACATAGTAATAAAAACAATGAACGAAATCAGCAAATCTCATTTATTTTACATAAAATAATAAACTCCACTTTACTCGATAAGCTTTAGTTAACTAAATAAATTAAAAGTATTCTTATTACATCAGTGCAAATAATTTTGTCTATAATAACGACGAAATCATTAAAAAAATATCTTATTCGTGTCTTTCCATTACTTCATTCAAAAACTATCTCAAAATTCTTTGGTCGAATTAACAGATTTTCGATGTACTTTGTAAAATCCACTTTATCACAAAATTGGACAATTACTTCTTAACCGGACATAATCATTCATAATTTACACGGTAACCAGATTTTATGAACTACAAATAACCACAATACTCACCTTCTGTCATATTTAAATCTAAAAATATCTGTATCTAGTAACAAGTAGCATAAATATCACTAATAGTGCCAATAAAAAATCTATGTTATATTATCTGTGACCACAAAATATTTAAAAAGGCGGTTAACATTCTACATTACAGTAGACATACAAAATATGTATGGACAGCTAGGAAAAATTATCTGAGAATTGCAAAATACAACAGTTCATTATAATATAGATGTGTATGTAAAAATGGCTAAACAGTAAAATGCATTCGACGCTTTAGTGACTTTACACATCATTTTCTTAATATGACGTTTATTTACTTGTCAAAGTTGAAGTTGGCGATTTTAAAATGCTAAATGCTAGTGTGTAAAGTAACTAAGTTTTATTAAACTCTAAATTAAACGACTCTCATATACAACAAGTATTGCTGCGAAGCACCACGATTCTTACCGGCTGGCAGTGGTATTGGACGTATAGCACAAATGTATTATTGCGAATAACGAAGCATAACAAGACGTTTTATTGTTATATATCAACTCATTCTAAAGATATTGCGATATTTTCAGTATATTCATAATTCTGAACGAAATTTTGCTCATTTTTATTAATTTTCTATATGAAACAAATAGAAATTGTGTACATCAATTGATTACCATGTACTAAATGAATTTTTTTATAGGATTTAATTTAGCATTGTTTGTTTTTCTCCACAAACGTCATGCAATGCTTCTATTATTTCTCGATATAATGTAAGCTACAGACAAACATACTCATTTAGCACCAATAACGGAATCCTGAGTTATTACAATATCATGAAAAATTATACATTTAACTTACAACACTCATTTAGATCTATACAAATGCTTAAACATTTTTATAAAAATACCAATCAATTTATTCTATTTATCATTAAGACACTTCATTGAATTAAAACTAATGAAAATAATCATTAATATTTACATGAGCCTATAAATAAACCTTACTTTTATATACTCACAAGTAATTATATACAATCATATTTAAACTACATAGTAAATGTCATTCCATATAAAAATACAAACACACAATCTGATAGATACAAAAAAAAATCTCTTCATTATGTACTCTGAAAAATGTATCATATACCCGAAAAGAAAATAATTCAAAGTTATTGTATTGTCATATGCGATTGAAATTTTGATATCCATCTAAAATAATAATGTATAGATTCTACATATAATTAATTATTGGTGATCATCTAAAATTAACTCGACTAGAAAATATTTTATAATCTGTTACATTCATCAACAACATAGCACGCTTATTTATTCATCAAGTTATTTACCGGAGATTCATTGTACAAATTCACAAAACAGTCTTATTATATTTGTATTTGACTGTTATTTTAATACATTTTACTTATTTCTGTATAAGCTGCCATCTTTCTGTGATTTATTCATAATTATGAGCCTTTCTCTACCTTAAACTAAGCAATATGTACTCTTTTATTTGTTACGAAAGCACAATTTTTACTAACAAAAAAAAGTTCTGTGTTAAATATTACTTAACCAATACAGGAAAAGATACTTAAGGAGATCTGTCTTCATTAATATTTTTCTATTTGTTCTTTGTGTAATTATTTTTTGACAGTTATTTCTTTCCCTAAAGATTTCCTGTTTTCAAATTTCTGTTGCAAACTCGCAACATTTGACGGTTTAGCTGATAATTTTGTAGCATTTGTTTTAACGGCTTCAGTCTTCTGTATGTTGTTGGGTTTTGGAACAATTTTTGGTCGATTTTTGTTCAAACTATCAGCTATCGCCTTAACGTTAGAATCTGTTTTAGATGTAGTTCTATTCAAGGGAGGATTTTTATCTGCCTTGTTCATATTTAAGGCAGAATTAGTTTTTGGGACCGGTGTCGGTTTAACATTAGGTTTCTTCTCAGACGGAACCGGTTTGAGTGGGGGTCGGTTTTCGGTCGTTTTTGTCGTATTTGGTTTAGTCGCTAACTTAGGTGGTTCTGTTTTATTATTGTTTATAATATCAGGAGCCTTAGTATTCTGTGTTTCGGGAACAGCACAGCTTGATACTAGGTCGGGACTGTTTGGAATCGTTTTGAGATTATTCCTGGTGTTCGTCTTCGGTGATTGCGGTATATTTTTGAATGTTCTTAACCCCGGCGGAGTGATTTGTCTTGTAAACGTAGGTATTTTCGAATTAGTTTTTAATGTAGGGGACGGAGGCTTTTCGATTTCGTGCTCATCGCTTTCTTTTTGCATGTAAGTCGGTACATTAACGGCGGACGGGTGCAGGTAGCCGCTACTAGTTGTAGAGGCCGCGCTAGATTTCGTCTCAGAGTTGCTGTAAACGCTCTCTGGACTTTTATAATCTGTGTTCATGTATGTGCTATCTCTGTTACTATCGGTATTTTTGTTCTTATCTTTCATTCTCGCCAAAGAATTGGTGCAGTAAATTGAATCGAAATTGCGGTTTTGTATTTCATTGACAATTTCTCCAAGCAGACCTAAACTTTCAGAGCTTCCCGAATTGGAAGTTATAGGTTTCGGTACATTGTATTCTTCGAATGGAGCCTGCGTAGAATTAGGAGGACGTCCCGGCAAGGGTTTGAAATGCTTCTCTGGACTTTCTTCTATGATAGCGTAAATATTGTCGCCAGATTCTTCATCGATATGTGCCAATGGGACTTGTTTTTCTTCTATGCAATCGACGTAATCAGTAGATTTGATGTCATTCTGCAGTTTTGGATTTTGGTAGATAGATTGTTCTTCGTTTTTCGGTTGTGATGGCAACGGGGGAGGGGGCGCCGTCGGTCTTCCCACACATGATAAGGGTCGTGGTACACCCGGCGCTTGTCTCATCGATGCAAAGCTTTGTAGCACTGGCTTTTGGCTAACAGGTGCTCGCATACTTTGCGCTCTGTTTACGAAAGCCTTCGAATCGTCGGCTTCTTCTGAATCCGATACAACTGGGACGGTTGTAACAGGTAATTCTATTTCTTTTTGCAAAATAGGACCAGATATTTGCAAATTGCGCAGAGCGACTTTATCACCGGTTTTGACTTTTAATTGGTTGTTACCATTCTTCGGTAGTGAGTGGCTTCTCTCCACCGGGTTTCTATCTTTATCTTTTGGTTTATCTTGTTTCAGGAACGAAGCGATCCTATTGAGAGATATGCCTTCTTTAACCTTCTTAGGTTCTTCTGGCAGTGGTTTTTGTGGTACATTACCCGCTGAGTGCATGCTTAACGGCCTCTTTGGTAAATCTGGGGAGAAGTCAGGAACTGTAGGCGCAGCTCGGATAGGACCCAAGGTTTTGGAACCCTGGAGAGGAGAAATGAGTTCTTTCGCTGTACAAGTCGATGCTTCAAGAATAGGACTAGATATTGTCGGTCTTGGAGCAGTATTTGCGGGTATTTCTTCAGCCTTTTCGGTTCCCATGAAAGCTTTAATACGATTCTGAACCGAGCTGTTCGTTCGTTTGATAGATGGGCTTGTTTTCGGGCTTAGTTTAGCTGTATTCGGAACAACGGGCAACGGAGGTGCTGATCTTAATATTGGCTTCGATCCCTGGGCTATATTCTGACTGTTGCTACCACTTCTATGTACGGGTGTAATTTTGGCGCTTTTCTGTACATTATCTTTTTTATCTTTGACTTCGGGTTCGTTTTGTGCGTTCTTATCAATGGGGGTGAGTGAGAATCCTTTGAAGTTTCCGAAGAAATTTACCGATGGGTTTATGTTGCCTGAAGGGCTATGTTCGGAATCACTTCTGAGGAGGCTCGAGCTCATGTCGTCAGAGTTCGACAGAGTATGAACATTGACAGGTTGGGCGTTGTTTTGTGAATTATTTTGGAAATTTGCAGCAAATTTCGTCGCACTTCGTGACAGGCGACGCTGCAAGCTGTTCTTCTTTGGCGATTGAACACTGAAATATTAAAAAGAGTTTAAGAGATCACATAAAAAAAAATTTATAACTTTAAAGTTAAGTTACATATTTTCTCTTTTATCAGCATAAAACATGCTTTATAAAATAATTTACGAGTTAGGCAAGCGTAGGAAATATTAGCGGCGGAATTATTAACATGCAAAGCTTATGAGACCAAAGTACTCACCAGAAACCGGACCATCCCAAATACTACAAGCTTTACAAGACTGGCATATTTTTAGAAAAGAAAAATGTGCAAATTAATTTTTTATTATGAAAATAGAAGAGTTAAAAGCTAGAACATAGAAGTAACTGAGATTGCTTAGAATAAGAAAACAGAATAATCAAAAATATTGGCGTTTCGTTCACCAGATAAGTAAATTTATAATAATTCAGTTATTTTAAATAACTGAATCATTATACAAAATGCCAATAATTTTAAGAAACTCAATGATACTACACTAGTGGACTACATTACACATTCACACGTGAAAAAAAGGAAACAGTGTATACTAAATAAACTAAAAAAAACAAAAAACCATAACTCCATAACAAATTCCCACAACGAATTAGTAATATTTTTAATATCCAAAATAGTATAAGGTATTATTTGGATTATAAAAATACTTAGTACTTTGTCCATATAAAATATTTTAGTTAGGTATATTTTTTATTCAAGATATTAATTTGTTCTGAACAATTTAGTAATTTTAATATTATGGACATAGTAAACCCAAAAACAAAACCAAAAACCCCATGCATATACATATACAGGGTGACTGGTGAATTACTATCAATATTTAAGGAGCATACTCGGTACATGATTCTCATTCGAATTATGTAAAAAAAATAGGCACTTAATTTTTGACAAAATTTCCGTATAAATAAATAAAGTGTGGACACGTTCCAAGTGTTCCAAGTGGGGACGCGTGCGGCGGCGTGCTAATACAACACCACGCCGCCGCATGCGCGTGTGTGTGTGTGTATACCTAATCTGTAGGGTGTTCACACGATGCGTAATTAATTACATAACTTTTGGTTAACTTTACTTAGAAGTTTATTAATATTTATGTTATATTAATTTTTATTTTGTCATACATATATGATCTTCAAATATCACGTCCTCAAGTATTGATAGTAATTCACCAGTCACCCTGTATACTCGAGTTTAGTTGTTTGGGAACCGCTGTATAATGTTAAATCAAACATTAATAATAACTTTTAATGTTAAACTTAGATAACTAAACTAAAAGATAAGACTATCTAAAAACTAGTTTAACTAAATATGTACTAAGATATCTACATTACAAGATAAAAGATACTATTTATTTAATATTGGACATTTTATTAGCTTTGATTGATGAATCAAATTTCTGGCTTAATTTTTTTACATTACATTGTGTTGTTTTAGTGTTGACATTATTATTACTTGTTGTTTGTTCTGTTATCTTTCTATTTTTACTCTCGACTTTAAATGTACTTTCCTTTACTTTATTCGGTATACAATTCTCATATATGACATCTTTATTAATTTTATTTGTCATAGCAATGTTAGTTTTAGTTTTGTTCCTATCTAAATTAACTTCCTGTTTATTTGTGTTAATCTCAGCTTTAACATGTTCATTTGTAGTCGAAGCCAGACCGGTTTTAACTATGACTATATTAGATTTGTTAATTTTCGGTTCAACTTTAACCCTAACGTTAGCTAGATCTAAGTCATCCGCAACTTTTATATCATCTTTGTTTATTTTCCTCTGAAATTTTTTAGTTTCGTCATTTTTGTTACCATTCAACATGTTAATTATCTTGGAACTTATATTAAAATTCCATTTAGTGTTTATATTTTGGTTATGTTCGCATATATTGCTGTATATGTCGTCCTGGCATTTCTCGCATGCATTTCTCTTGTGTGTTTTCCTAAAGCTGATTAATCTAACGAAGGAGTCGGTGGATGTTTTGAATCTTTTGAATCTGTCGCCGTTGAAAATGTTATTTACGTACGATTTGTTTGGTTTCTTCCAGCAGAGTAGCACGTTGTGACGCGAGTAGTACATTAGTAGCATAACCAGTAGCACGGACGGCAGGATACCAAGGAATATTATATACATAGCGACCATGAAGTTTCGTTGAACTGAAACAGAGAACATTTCTTTATGTATTATACTAATCGAATTGAAAACTAAGAATAGTATAATCGTAGTAGTTTTATTACAACTATTTCAGTATATATGATACAATTATAGTTCTTCCAGTATCACGTGACACATAAAAAACCGATGCGACGTCAGATATCTTAAGATCTGTCTGGTGCAAATTCACCGCGTGTGCGTTCTATAATTTGCTTTTCGCTTTAGCGTAGCGTAACGTAGCGAAACTTTTGGTCATCGGATGTCTTAAGCGGGTCGACGACGGCTTCGAATTGAATAAACCAGGCTCTGGGATATTCGCGCCAAAACGGTAGTAGTCTTGACTGTACAGAGATTGCACTTATATTTTCGCCGCTGATAATTTCTTCTTGCTTTTTTTCTTCCATAATGTTTCCTACGAGTTCAGCTTCTTGGTCGGGGTCACCAGATGTAGCGGTTATGGTGCAGAGATTAATGAAACTACGAGTGAGGTTGAAACTGGAATGAATTTTATTGCAGATAAAACGAATATTTATACCTTTTAAGATGCTAACAAGCAGCGTACGAGTGTAGATTACTCTAGAAAGAGACGGTATTATCGGACGTCTCGATCGAGCGTGCGAGTGTAGATTATTCAAGAAAGAGACGGTATTATCGGACGTCTCGATCGGAGGTTATAAATATAAGTGGTGATTCCTTCGCTCGCCTCGGCAGTCCGGCACAGTACGGCGAAGGCGTATGCACATACTCAAGGCGCGAATACGACACAGTTATTTGTACATTATATAATAGTGTATAATGTATAAGGATATAGTATATACCTACTAACATTATAAATGCGAAAGTAACTCCGTCTGTCTGTTACGCTTTCACGCCTAAACCACTGAACTGATTTTAATGAAATTTGGTACAGACAGAGTTGACCTTGAGAAAGAACATAGGATAGTTTTTATCCCAGACTTCTGAAAGGTTCTCTTGGTAACGCGATATAACCGAACTCCACGCGGGCGAAGCTGCGGGCGGAAAGCTAGTATGTATATTTACTTGAAGCGTCAGTAGCTGGTCCGGAGTCCACGGAGCCTCCCGGGCCGGGGAGCTCACACAGTGGAGGGGCGAAGCCCGAGTCACAGTGACAATGACCTGAAACATAACCGTATATATTGAATGTATAAAATTAATATAACCTGTGTCTACAAGTATAGTGTTTGTAACATATTCAGATAGTAGGTAGTGACAATGTAGGTAATGTTTGTGACAGTTGTCAGTCTACGTTGAAGCAGTAAAGTGTGTGCCACAAGTTCATTGTTTTATTTGATTATTACTCATAAATAGTATAACAATTAGGTATATGAAAACCTAATTAAACTAATTAAAATGTTTTTAGTTCATAATATTACTTAATTGTATTATTTATTAAATTTTAAGAATTTTTTTGGAACCTGAATTATTTTTTTTTAATCTTTCGTGAGTCTTTTTCATTTAAATGTTCTCGCCTGCCCGTGATCACGGTTGCTGTTAAGTAACCGAAACTTCGGGAGTATGTAGTTTTTTATAAAGAAAAAAATCCGAATAATATTAGTTTCATTTAGACCTGAATTTTTACTTTATATTTGTTTTTCATACCTTCTGAATTACAGACACCATGACCCGAACAATTTGACGGACAGACGGATGTTTCTTTACGAGCGATCTCTGCCGTCACTTCCGTTATTGGAACGCATCTATGTTTCAAACACATCTGAAATAATGATCAAAGATTATATACAAGAACAAAATATATATACGGCCTTGGTATATACAGGTATAAGTTGGATATCTATATGTTAAAATATATATAAATAATAATCTCATTACAAAATTTCTCATCATATACAGGGTGACTGGTGAATTACTATCAATATTTAAGGAGCATACTCGGTACATGATTCTCATTCGAATTATGTAAAAAAATAGGCACTTAATTTTTGACAAAATTTCCGTATAAATAAGTAAAGTGTTGACACGTTCCAAGTGTTCAAGTGTGAACGCGTGCGGCGACGTGTTGATACAACACCACGTCACGACATGCGTATGTGTGAGTGTCAGTTTATACCTAATCTGTAGGGTGTTCACACGATGCGTAATTAATTACATAACTTTTGGTTAACTTTACATAGAAGTTTATTAATATTTATGTTATATTAATTTTTATTTTGTCATATATGATCGTCAAATATCACGTCCTCAAATATCGATAGTAATTCACCAGTCACCCTGTATACATAACCTATTTTTGCAACAAAAATTCCTATTATATACAATTTTAGATTTACAAAGATAAATAATACATAAATTATATATTAATGGGTATATAATATCTTTATATACTTTATTATCTCCACATTTCGCGCCGTCTGGTACAAAACCCGGGTCGGGGTCACTAGTCCCCATATCAACCATGGCTGTGCGACATGGTATTATTGTACCTACAACAAAAATAAAAAAATATAATGATCTCTACCTGGTAATTTCCCAGCTTTAACCAGGGTCTGCCAATAGATTACAATGATATCGTCGTGGATAGTGCAAATTCGTGTTACTACCATTGGATATTTTTTTCACAATTAGTAATAAATTAAGCACAAAATAATTACTAATTGTGAAAAAATTTACCTTCAAAGTTGTTAATATAGAAAATATTTCAGCTCAAACTTTCTTCTGATAATCTGCTTCCAATGTAGATACGCGGAATTATACAATGCTAGTTACGCGTATTTGCACTATCCACGAAGATATAATGAAAATATAATATGAAGCGAATAAAATATAGTTAGGTAGAAATATAGTCATATTTATATTTAGTTATAAATCTATAGATAGATTTAAAAAACTTATATAGCTATGTGTAACCGATAGTGATATTTATTAATGTTTTATTTATTTAATGCTTTTCTTGTAAAATACCAAAAAGAACCGTTTCATAATGGCCTTCAAGATTTTGTGTGTTGTTATTATATAAAAGTTAAGTCTATCGTCTGACGTTGAAAAATTTTATTTTATAATTTTATTAAAGTTACTTGAGTAACAAATTTCATCAAATAAGTATAGGCTTTACTAGCTTTTCATAATCAATTTATTTTTATATATTTTTGAGGACGTACGAATGTTCGTTGCTTTTTAACGCAGACTAGTGATTTTTTTAAATGAAATATTTCTAGTAATTTAGTTCAGATATAGGAATGTGTTGTTATTTATTCAAAACTCCCTGTTTTTCTCTAGAAAATGGAATGACAGTTATATTTAAAATAAAGCTATATGTCACACTGTAGATGGCACTGTTAATAAGTTGCTATATTTAAGTATACATTATTAATTTCTCACAAGTCACAAGCAAATTCCGATGTTAAAGACAAAGTCGTGTGTTAAACTAGTATATATTATTACCGTTATTATTAATGAAAACTGCTGAGAGCGTTGAAACTGATTCCATGCCGAATTCAAGTCTCTCATTCAGATGGCGACACTGTAGTAGACCGCAGAGAGCGTCTTCTTTAGAACATTTGTAGTAGACCGGAGGGTCTTCGCGATGGTAGCCGCAATTACCCTTCCTGTTTAAACGTTGAAGTTACATCAAATAATGTTGAGTCTTAATATGTATAATGCAATTATATGTGACAATGAACAACTTTATTGAAAACAAAAGAAAGCATTCTGCAAATTATTAGTTTCGTACTCATTCACTCGCGAAGATTTAGAAACATTTTTTAGCATTACCACTTGCATCAACATTTTTAGCATTACCGATTTATAATCATTTTTTAAAGCACAGTAGCAGGACTCTATTTTGAATTATAATTTTATTGAAAGAACTATGGTCACACTAAACATATTTAATATCTTCCAATCCTAGACGCTACTCGAATTAATACTATAGAAACGTAAAAATGTTGTGTAACATACAGACATACAAACATACAGACCTGTCCCCTTTAGTATTAGAGTTGGTATAACATTGAACGTCCGAGTTCTCTCCTGAGAAACCCCACAGTAGTCGACATTGATCCGTGTGGGTTCGACAAGATCCGCCCGCACAATACGCCTGGAAATATATTATTATTGAAACATTACACCTGGAAATTTTATATTATTATGAGGGTAGTTAGAACTAATGAGATCTACTCGAGAGTATTCATTTAAATTAAAATAAAACTTTCATATTACTACTCCTTATTTCATTATTTTAACTATATATTGTCGACGTTCGGTTACTTTGCAGTAACCGTGATCACGGGCAATTTATATATGTCTATGTATTTACTAATACTAACTTTCCCCCCTCCACAAGGCGTGGCGTCCATCTTGTACACGTCTATCGGACAGTACTCCGAGTGTCCGCTGCAATACTCCGGCAGGTCACACTCCTTGTCGGCCGCCCTGCACACCGACCCCGCCGGCTTCGGACGACAAGTCTGTCATACAAATATTAATATTAAACCTACTATCAAACAAAAGTCGGTCGGTGTGAGGCACGTCCCCATGTATACCGTCGTATCGCAGCACTCTCCCGCCGCGCACGTCGCGTTAGAGCGTAACACGCACGCCCGCGGGTGACAGCAAGCGGTGCAGGCTGGATCACCCGCCAGGCCACAGTCACACTGCTCGCCGGGCTCGATGAATCCATTACCGCAAGTAGATGGCTCGAATAAACGCTTTGGTTTATTACTGAAAAGATTTATAGAAAACATTGATATTCTATGAACTTTCTCATTACCAAAGAAATAACCTAACATAAATTATAAAATAGAAAAATAACTCTGATTAGAATTTGCAGCATTTGGATTATCTCTTCATTTTTTTTTCGCAATTAAACTATCGTGTCATGATACGAAATCGACCAGTTTATGATTCTATATATTTTATTATGTAGGTCATATTAGATTTCCAAAACTTTATATGCGTTTCTAAACTATATACAGCTACTACGAAACCTCGAACTTAAATATCTTACCGCAGACAGTAATCCATTCCTCTCTCGAACGCTAAGGCGAGTGACCTCAAACTACAAGACGACCACTTAGTAGGGGTCACGGATGTACTTGATGGGCTCATGATGCACTTCTCATCTGGACACTCGCAGTCAGCGTCTGTATCATGTTCCATGCCAAAATTGTGGCCCATTTCGTGGGCGATCGTGGTCGCCACAAGACCGATCACCTCCGAATGATTTGTGGCGACACCGCCCGAGAAATTATACGTACATATCGGACCTTTAAGAGCCTTACCCACGACGCCATCTTTAAATTTCTGGCGGCTGAAAAAATATGTGAAAAACTTCATTAATTTCAATTAGATTGAATCGCTAAAAATCATTTTTACGTAATCTTCTGCGCTAAATGAATTCGAATTTAATATCGCTATTTCTATGGACTATGACAGCAAAAAATGCTGTAATATATTTGTTTGAATAAATATTCTAAGGCTTATAGGTTTATTATAACCTACGTTAATAAGTGCGCGTTGTCATTGGGCATGATAGGTAGAAGCCTTTTCCTGTAATGTAAGAACTCTGTTAGAGTTTTATCTCCGTCCTCCTCTAATCGTATTTCGTCTCTTTCATTCCACACGACCACGCCCACTAGCGCTATGAAGATATTTAGTGGGGTGTACACCTGAAAAATAATTTATTATATTAAAAATACTACAATTTTAATGAACAGAGTATATATATCCAATATGTACTAGCTTAGAGTATGTAATTATAATTTATATAAATAATATTTCTTATATAAAAGTAGCCAAGTTATTCCTTATTGTATCCGCTATCTGCTAATGTAAGTACCATCAAATTCCGTCCAGAAGTTTTCGAGATTAGACGGAACAAACAAACGAGAAGACAAAATATTAAATAATAAAAACCTTGAATATATCGTTAAAAGTTTATCTTACTACAAAGAGACCATACAATTTTATTTATTTACACATATTAATCTTACTCCTCGTTTTATATCTATGTGTTGGAGATAGTATCCGGTATCAACCTCTAAAGTCATTCGTTTTATTAATTGGCAACCTGTGAAGCCTCCTTGGATGCTTTAAATTCAAATTGTTTCATTATCTATCGACGTCACTATAACTGTCACTATTACCTGCGCCTGCGCCGGGTATGCGCACTGATTGTTACAAAAAATTCAACATGTCGTAATATGACGACGAACATGGATTATATATCCCTCTCATTCTGCGACATCCTAATATTATAATTGCGAAACTTCGTGAGTATGTGTGTCTGTTTGTGACTTCTTCACGCTCAAACGGCTGAACCGATTTTGATAAAATTTAGTATACAGGAAGCTGACGTCCAGGAATAAGACATAGGCTACTTTACATCCCGGAAATGCAGGTAACACCGCGGGGCGCAGCTAGTATATATATACTTACAGAGTTAATAATATTAGCCACATCCTTGAGCTGCCTGTGCACCGTCTCCTTGCTCTCCCCGTTAGCTCTGAACTCCCTGTAGTCGGCCACCAACACGAGCTCCACGAAGCGAGACAGTTTGTTCACATTGAACGGACCTCTCACCTCCGTGTCTTCATAGACATCACGTTTGTACTTGAAATAATAATATTACATCAGAATAGACAGATAGATAGATAGAATATACTTTATTGTACACCACAAACAGTAAACTTTACAGGGAAAAAAATTATTATAAATTGAAATGTACAAAAGGCGGTCTTATCGCTATGTAGCGATTTCTGCCAGACAACCTTTGATTTGGGGAAATTGTGCAGCGAAAAGGTAGGTGGTGCCTTATCCTTAAATATACACTAATACATATATATAACTAGACTATTTATATGAGAAATGTGGCTAACGGGCATAAGGTCCACTTGATGGGCAATAGTCACCATCGAACTTGGACATCCGCATTGTAAGAGATGTTGCGGATGCGTTATTGAACTTGGTTGAGAGCGCAGGTAGGTGGGAGTAAGGAAATGACTGAAAAGGGTGGGAATTGAAAGGGCAATTGGCTCTCTCACTCATCGGTCGAATCGAGCCATTAAAGGCTACTTCACGCCAATCTTTTGTGAGAGGGTGGTACTTTCCCGGTCGAGCCAGCCCATGTTCGAGCTGTAGTAAGTGACTACAGCTAGGCTCTACCATCTTAAAAATATATACTATAGTAGTCTACTGTTGACTGAGAGTAAAGTTCTTTTTAAGAGCCCCCAATTTTTCATCCTAGCTAAATGAAATCACTAATCACCCCCTGGACCTCTACACAACACCCGGGCCCCACTTTTGTTTTGAGTTTCTTATCGCCCCACTAAAAACCTGCAACGCCCATAAGGTGGCTTTATCGTCCACTTTGTATGGCTGCTATAAAGTATAGCATTTTTTTAAATGATTTCTAATAACTTTTCTTTTCATATTATATAAACATGCGCCTAATACTGTAACGAAAAACATCAACGACTTTCCATGTCAGTTTTTCATTTTTATAAGATTTATACATGAAAGCATTCCACACTATCAGTATATATTTTGCCGAAAACTCGTAGTAAGTAGTACTCATACTACGAGTTCAGATATATCCCTACTAATACTCGTATTATAAATGCGAAAGTAACTCTGTCTGTCTGTCTGTTACGTTTTCACGCCTAAATCACTGAACTGATTTTAATGAAATTTGGTACAGAGATGGAGTTGACCTTGAGAAAGAACATAGGATAGTTTTTATCCCAGACTTTTGAAAGGTTCTCTTGGAAACGCCATATAACCGAACTCCACGCGGGCGAAGCTGCGGGCGGAAAGCTAGTCAAATATAACCTTTTATATTATATCATACCCGACTTATCCTGCTCTTCTCCATGTTTCTACTGTCTGTGTGTCGCTTCATAAGTTCGGGGTCGTATGTCTCATTGGTGGTAATGCCTCCGCTGTACCCGCAGTGGAAGTCGGTGTTCAAATCCGAGTGCTCGTATAAGTAGTGTTCAGAGTCGATTTCGTTTCCTAGAAGAAAAGAATAATGATTTATTTTTGTTATTGAATTGAAAGATAAAGATATCGAGGTTAATAAATATTACGAGCTCACTAACGAACTCACTAGGAATTGGTTCGTCGTGGATTTTACGCGGTACAAGTTTGAGCGAGAGGTATAATGGCGAAATCTCTCAACAACCTACTGAAAGACTTGGGCCTGTCTAGAACTAACATTAATTCATTCTTGGAACGTACGTCGAAGGCAGCCATAGTACATTCTTTTCAAGTTTGGTTATGTAGAAAGAGGAGCTTGGACTATGGTGAGCGTTTAACTCGCGTTACATAGGGTCCCCTTAAACCTACACCTGGGTCGTAAGTCCCAGTCACTGTTGAAGCTCGTCTCACTACAACGATAGACCCGGCACCCGCACCGTGAATACATTTAATGCTAAGAGGTTTTGTCCAATATATTAATATTTATTGATATCGATATTTATTTACAATTGACGTCATAATTAAACCTGTATAATATCATATATTTTAGCTTGAAATTATAAGAAAATAATTTTTAACAAATTCTCGAATGTTCTTCAGAACTTAATAATAAATTAAAATATAATTATTTGATATTAAAATCATTTCCTTAGAATCGTATAAGGAATTAGATACTACATGAAGACTATATTGAATTTCCATATAAGTGAATATCGGTTCAGTTGTAAATGACACAGTAATCAACACGTACAAACATATCCATACTATAATTATATAGTATGCTGTATGTAATATATGATATATACTTTTACATTAGATTCATATAGAAATATATAAAGTGCATCAAAACAATAGATATATTAAAATATTAACACAAAGACAGCGACATTTATAGAATGTCACGTGACTTCAAACACAATACAATCGTTGTGTATTCCCGAGGGAAATACACGGTATGAGGTAGTATGTTAAAATCTATACGAAATAATGATTGTATGAGCTATTATTACTGCAAGAGTTTCAGTAATATAACCAATAGTTTTTATATGGAGGGTTTAAATACATTGAAACATTTACATTATAAATCTTCTATATATCTACATATATATACAAAAGAAAGTACTGTTAAAAACTGAACGGCAGTTGAAAAATGGCGGAGAAATAGCTTAGAACAAGGGAAAGGACATAGAATACTTTTCATCCAGTTTGATCAAAACGAAATTGTAGAAAAAAAATTGTGAATAAAATCCAAAAACTGCTTGTTTACGGAAACTAATCATGTCTAGTCTTAGCATATATTTTGATGTATATAACATTTTTATTGTTGAGTTTGTTATTTTCAGGAGTAGGTTTTTATAAAACAACAAAATTAAGACAAGTACACGAATATTCTTTAACTCAATTCGCCGATTTAATTGTTAGGTTTCGAACTCGCGCCCTCATGCATGCGAGGCCTTTAATCACTAGGCCACCACGACTTTATATATATGTATATTAATGTATTAGTTACATACTATCAGCTGGTTGTATATATCTCATGGTCCGTCCGTCGTGTATGATCCCTCTAACTCCGTCGCACGTGGACACAGCCACCCACGAGCCTCTCTTGTCTCTCACCTTGCCAGAGTACTGACATATGTCGAGCTCCTAAAAAAAATACGATTTTATTATAAAAAAAAAAACCTCTTCAATTTAAAAATACTCATAGTATGTGAGACGTTTTAAAGAAAAAATAAAATATATTTAATTTATATTCCGTTAATTTTTAACGGCGAATGCCATCATAATAATATGCAGTATTATTTTACGTGAATAATAATCAAGTTCGACAGGTAAAGAATAAAGATAACGTTATGTTTTAATAATATTGCTTTGATTTATCCTACTAATATTATAATTGCGAAAGTTTGTGAGTGTGTGTGTATGTTTGTTACTTCTTCACGCTCAAACGCCTGAACTGATTTTGATAAAATTTTGTATACAGGAAGCTGACGTCCAGGAATAACATATAGGACATTTTACATTCCGGAAATCCGCGGGTAACACCGCGGGGCGCAGCTAGTTCTTTATAATATTAACCTGACATTTCTTCAAATCAAATCAAATCCAATCAAATCTCCGTGTCACTTATTCAATGTGTTATGATCCAATATATTTTCCTTACCTCCAATGTAGGTTTATGTACCACCGTCTCTCCATTCTTCTGGTACGCTATCACATGGTCTTTGGTGATGAGATCTTCGTTCAGTCTCAAATCCAACACTTGCTCCCGGCCATCAAAGTTTATTTTCATAACAAGCTCTGGATGGTGTATGCCTTCCTGGAAACAAACGATTAAATGCCAATCACTATATGTAAAAAGATTCATAGTATTCAATTTGATGATTAAAAATTTTGAACGAATTTTTTTTTATGAATTTTCGAATTTATTTTTCGATTTCTACGCGTATTTTATTATTTTAAACTGGCAGATGAGATGCCTGCCGCGATGACGGTTGCTGCAAAGTAACCGAAACGTAGGGAGTATGTAGTTTAAACAATAATGAAATAAAGCGTAGTAATACGAAAGTCCTATATAGGATTTTTTTTATTGCTATGCATTTTTACCCGACTCTGTCCTTGACTAAGAGGCTTATAACTCGTCTTCTTATCAGGATTTCTAATGTATACGATATTTAGGTATATATAAAGAGAATTAGATATAAAATGTTTATTTAAATATGTATTCGAGTCCTTGTCTATAATTAATTGAATCACTATTATGTATTGATGTGAAATTATGTTATGTACAAGATTGAAGATGTATTAATTTGGTGGCTTTATTGTTTATGGAGATAATAACATTATTAAAGTCAAATAGATACATGTAATATTAAATTACTATGTCATATAATATTATAGAATATATAATAACTTTATATATTAAATACTATATTATTTATCCCCATTTAATACCATTTATATACATGGTGTTTTAGTAATAAATGCCTGAATTTAAGTATAAATAAAACAAATTATCTCTAAAATCCCTTTATGATATTATATTTGTAGTAAAACATATATGAAGATATATTTTTTGATATATTTTCAATTACTTTAGCACAGAAATCGGACTCAATTCGTCTGATGGCATAAATTATATTGCCTGCGAGAATCGTTCTGGTTGGTGGCTTTCTGGAATTTACCTTCGATCTAAGAAACTCTCACAGGAAAAGTATAAACTGGGTCAAACACACGTCCTCATAAACGAAGTAACATTGAAACTAAATTTTAATAAAATAATTTTAACTTGAACGTCTTATTTGCAAAGTGGATTGAATAGAAGCTAAAACAATACAGGTAACTTCAACAATATGGTTAAATATTCGTTAAAGAAAGTCCCCATTGTAAGCTTATATGTCGTCAGGGATAGTGCAAATCCGCGTAGCTACCATATGATAATTCCGCATATCTACATTGGAAGCAGATTATCAGAAGAAAGTTTGAGCTGAAATATTTTCTATATTAACGACTTTAAAGGTTATTTTTTCACAACTAGTAACTTTTTAGTGTGTAATTTATATCCCTACTAATATTATAAATGCGAAAGTAACTCTGTCTATCTGTCTGTCTGTTACGCTTTCACGCCTAAACCACTGAACAGATTTTAATGAAATTTGGTACAGAGATAGAGTTGACCTTGAGAAAGAACATAGGACAGTGTTTATCCCACACTTTTGAAAGGTTCTCTTGGAAACGGGATATAACCAAAGTCCACGCGGGCGAAGCTGCGGGCGGAAAGCTAGTATATAATATATATAAATTATGCCATTTCAAGAATATGAATAATCTTCAACAAAAAACGTATTACTTTCCAGCGTGTAAACATAAGTATAAATGTTTAAAAGCACTAAGATTCTTATTTATATTCGGCTCTTCATGCTTATGGTATTGAGATCACCATTGTTCCTTTAAAGGATTCGAACAAAAAAAATACCATTGTATTAACATGGATACAATGAGATGTAAATCTGTTACTCGGATTTTATATAAGAGAATTGTAAGAGGAAAACGGAATCATCCCTACTAATATTATAAATACGAAAGTAACTCTGTCTGTCTGTCTGTCACGCTTTCACGCCTATACCATTGAACTGATTTTAATAAAATTTGGTACAGAGATAGAGTTGACCTTGAGAAAGAACATAGGATAGTTTTTATTTCAGACTTTTGAAAGGTTCTCTTGGAAACGCGATATAACCGAACTCCACGCGGGCGAATAAATAAACTTCCAATATATGTACAATATATGTATATATATATTATTGTGACGAAATCATTTAAATATTTACTTTTCCATACAGGACAATAGGCAGAGCATCGCTGATTAGAAAATTAATTAAGTTAATGTAAGTGGTAAGGGAAAATTATTAGTAAAATAATTTACCTGTTCAATTATGAACACAATTACCGACTTATTTTATAATTTCTGATTCAATACTTTGAATTTAAACTGATGATGAATAACCTCCTTCTCTTCCTTATGCAGTAACGGTTATTCTTTATAAATCTCGTATAGAACTTTCGTTAGTGTAGTTCACTTACCCAGCAATCTGCTTGGAAATTTCTTACCATATGATGCCTAAACTATAAAACGTACTTTAAGTCGATGCAAAAATAAACTCATTGTACATTACCACTTACATTTATGATCTAATTAATAATAATTTAAAATTTTAATGTATGCGAAATCGTAATGATTAATGTACATAGAGCCTTGGAGATTCAATTAGCTGCTCTGCCAAATTAAGGTCGATTCTAATGAGCATCGGATTTCGTAAAAATCAAGGTTAATAATATTGAAATTAAAGTTCAGAGTATAAATGTCTGAATTAGAAAACGTTCAATGTAGGGTCTGAGAAACTTTCAATGACCACAAGGTTGTATGTTGAGTTTGGTGAACGAAGTGGTATAAATTATACCTACTAAAGTTACTATATCCGTCTGTCTGTTACGCTTTCACGCCTAAACCACTAAACTGATTTTAATGAAATTTGGTACAAAGATAGAGTTGACCTTGAGAAAGAACATAGGATAGTTTTTATCCCAAACTTTTGACAAGTTCCCTTGGAAACGCAATATAAGCGAACTCCACGCGGGCGATGGCGCGGGCGAAAAGCTAGTTTATATATAAACAAAAATGTAATGTAAATTCTTAATTTATAAACAAAAATAACACACTCATTACTGGAGTGTTTAAAATTAACGAAATGCGAAATAGAGTAAATTTATCATATATTGTTGATAAACAAAAATTCTTTTTAATGTGACGGCGCATCCGTCAAAAATCATACGTCAGGTTGACTTTTAGCTGTCTGAGGTTAGCCTAGTGAAGCGTCATTGTGATGGTAGCGAGGGCGGCCATCTTTATGATGGAGTATCGTGCGAGATGACGCCCGCGCACCGCGCTCGTGACGAATCGCTGTGTATCGAAGTGATAGTGATATCTAGTGTTTCGATTGAGTTGGTGTCGTATTGAATAGACTGTACTTTATCCCTTTCAAAGTATGAGTTCATTGTGTTACCACGTTTGTAACATTCCGTTTCATTGTGTTACTTTCCGTTTCATTACGTTATAGTGCGTTTGATTTAAGCTGAGCTTTGCATTTGTGTGAGTGCACACGGATAGTGTACGTGTGATGTCAAATTTCTGAATGCTACGTTCTTTTTTAGTTTTCAAACGGTTTATATTTATTGCTTTTATTCCCGCACCTTCCGCACTTCACCCTTTGTAATGGTAGCAACATCAAATATTGAAAACGCAGTGAAGAAGAATTTGTATAGTTTTCTCAATCTATATTAATTAATAAAAAAAAACATAATATTCATAATATTTCCATCTGGCCTTTTACAAAATTTGCTTATTTTATTTTTAATCTAAAAAAGCTAATGAATGTAAAAATGTTATGTATCTATTTAAAATATAATAACATTTAATTCTAAAAGTTTTGTGTAACTCACTTTCACTCACACAAATGCAAAGGTCAGCTTAAGTCTAAGGGACTATACCCCGTGTGTTACATTCCGTTTCAATTTGTTACCGCGTGTGTTATATTCCGTTTCATTATATTATAACGTGTATTACGTTTCGTCTATTAATTACCGTGTGTCTGGTTGATGTTATCTCCCTCTTGGTTCTCGCATGCTGAATGATCGGTCGTACCAATCTATGCCGGCTAAATTCTGGGGCCGGGGATCCTAGAAAAAATAGGAAAATTTATAAATAAATAGGAAGTTATATGTTAAATGCTCTATAGTATTACAGTTCTTGAATATTGCTATAAAAATACATATATAATATAGCAGTAATATAAGTAGGAAATTATAATAATTAACATTACAATGTAACTAACTGCACAAATGAAAATATTACAAGAATTATTATTAATTATCACACACAAAAGGAAAACAAAACAGGATATTCGTTTATAACAGGAATTGATAATTAATGTAAACAATATAATGAATATGGTTTCTCCCTAACACTAAAAAGAATATTTATAAATCTAATGTATTTGTTTAATTTATAAAATATACAAGTATTTCCCCGCGACTACGTCCGCCTTAATTTGGGTAATAGTAATACATATATGTATAGATCGGGCGCACTCCATTCCGCCCTAGAGGCCTAAAATGCCCAGATATTGGACTTATTGAGTATTTTCTTTTTCGATCGAACAGAATTAAATATGCTATGTCATTTTCCTTGTTCTAAGCTATCTCTCCGCAAATTTACATCCGAATCTGTCCATCTGTTCTTGAGTTATAAATAGTGTAACTAACACGACTTTCTTTTATATATGTATATATAAGATATACACGTATTATAAGTCAGTGGTGGCCTAGTAGTTAAAAGGCCCGCCTCTCATGCACGAAAGCGCGGGTTCGATCCTGGCCCTGACAAGTATCAATGTGATTTTTCCGAGTCATATGTACTTTGACATCACTGATTAATGCATTCCCAAAGAGGGTCGATATCAGGCAGGCGGCTGGTCTTAAACACAATTAGCCAATACTATTCACAACATGTAAGGCAGACCCTGGCTAAAGCTGGGAAATTACCAGGAAGAAGAAGAATATATGTATTACTTTTATTTATGTAATTTTTATATATGTACGGGAATTGTATTCTAGTCACAATTAATTCTTAGTGTATATGTATATTTGGCTAAATTTTATTTAAGTTTATTAGTTTTTGCGTGATTAAGGAAACTGCGTTGATTTGATAATTATATAATTACCGCTTCTTAATATTGTAAAAATACATGTACATACATACATACATCTTCGTTATACATTTACGTGAAAGCCTTTACGATGTTCTTTAATTAATTGTCTATATTAAAATTTTAAGCAAATAGGTGGTGAACGTAATGTTGTACTCAATATTTTCTTTGATTAACAAAATCATGACGCAATGTTATTTATATATACATATTAAAACATTAGTCAATACATATATGTTTAAAATATATTATGTATAATTTATGATATATGTATATGAACATAATAGATAGTTCTATACGAGTAACATTAGGTATACACGACTAACAGTAGATTTCCTCATCAGAACTAATAATTTGAAACGACCGTATGTGTGTCGCTGGAACGCCGTGGACTGAATCCGGCGGTAACCTTAGTATGTGTTTACATCGATACTATCAAACGGACAGTTACATCGTTTGCTATTTACATTTCAGTATCGATAAGAACATATTATTGCTTAAGCAGAAGTCATCATTCGTAAATTACGTTTTGTTATTTATAAATCTTCGCACATTATATTAAGTACTTTAGTAAGTAAGTTTAATACTGCAAACTGTCAGTTTTAAGTATGAACTATGAAGTATTCTAATCGTGTTGAGAATAAATATGATAAATGTATAGAAGAATTCAAACTACCAGTAAGTATTCAGGGTGTATAATGATAATTTATACTAAGGATACTTTTTAAAATATTAAGTAACAAGACGATATAATATTGTATTGTCATGTTCAATATTATATAGCAATATTTGAGTGGTTTTTTTGATTACTATTACTATCATCGCTAGATAAAATTGTATGACAATACAATATATGATATACAGGGTGACTGGTGAATTACTATCAATATTTAAGGAGCATACTCGGTACATGATTCTCATTCGAATTATGTAAAAAAAATAGGTACTTAATTTTTGACCAAATTTCCGTATAAATAAATAAATTGTGTACACGTTCCAAGTGTTCTAAGTGTGGACGCGTGCGGCGGCGTGCTGATACAACACCACGCCGCCGCGCGCGTATGTGTGTGTGTGTGTGTATACCTAATCTATAGGGTGTTCACACGATGCGTAATTAATTACACAACTTTTGGTTAGCTTTACTTAGAAGTTTATTAATATTTATGTTATATTAGTTTTTATTTTGTCATATATGATCGTCAAATATCACGTCCTCAAATATCGACAGTAATTCACCAGTCACCCTGTATAATAGCCAATTTCATGTTACTCGTCATATTTATTACTATTGCAATACTTTGCAAACCATCAAAATAAGTTATTATGTATAATATACCTATATAATAGTAGTATTTGTATAGTATATAATGAGTGCTTGTTATAAATATAGACGCAGATCATCGACCCTCCAATTGATGCCTAATTCAACTCATCAGCGAGGAATTGCTCTCATTGAGATAGCGACAATGGACCACATGCGGTTTACGTTTTTTGGTGTTTCGCGAAAAAACAGTAAATTACTGACACACCCTGTGTTAGATCAAATATTATATATATTATTATATGTATATCTTAAATAATACAAGTTAAGTTTCGACTTATTTTGTTCAGGTAAATGTCACGTTAAAAATAATAAACACAAACGAAAGATTAATAAGTAAATGTGTATTTAATATTATATAATAAAATTAATTTTGATTGCTTGTCTTGCGTCTGCTATTGCACACTTAAAATTATGTGAAATAAAAATAATTTCGCGTAGAGACTGGGGCATAAATTAGTTTTATAATAACTTTTCTAGTAGACGTTATATGTAGACGTACTTTTAATAATCATCGCAATATTATATACTCATAAACATTGATGAGAAACGAATTACATAACTAACGGTACAACAAAATTTGGGGCTCGTCATAAACACTTACTACACATCAGATATCGACAAAGTATGTGCGAAATATAACAAAGTTATGTTAAGATAACAAAGTTAAAAAACAAAGGAACAAAGCCATTCAATACAGTGATTAACAAACACTTGTTGTTACGGAAACATCTTAAACACACAAATGTTAAGCCACACGCGTTGTTTTCGGGTCAACGTTGTGGCCCGCTTAGTTTATTTTGGGTGAAATATATTTGCAAGACATAAAGTCAGGCTTAAATTATTATTTTTTTTACAAAATATTTGAACTGTAAGAAAAAATATTTGACCATTTGTTTGAGTCATTTTAAAACTCATTAAGTAATTTAATCACTTTGCATTTTCAAACAATCATAAAAAACTGGTCGCAAGACAACCTTTGAAAGGCGATAGTCAAACTATAGGACATTTTAATAGAAAATTTGCTTGAACTTTCACGCAAAATATTAATTTTAAAGTTTATAATAAAATTTAATTCGGATATAATTATAACATAATTAACAGAAAATCTAAAAGTACAAAACAGAACAAGTTTTACAAAGAAAACAACAAAATGATTGATAATTGCAGATCGATTCAATATTTACAAAGTTATTTTTAGTGTATGTAGTTTTGCAGCCTACATGGCATCACGGCAGTAGAATAGTCAGTAAAAGACAGATATCTGACTTTCATTTATATTTATTTAATAATTTTGTAATAAAAATTCAGAAAAAGTATTTTCATCCTTATGAAGTAGATTATACATATATGAACATGATAAAAAATATTTTAAAATACGCGCAAAGTTGAGGGTAAAATATGTTTCTACAACAACTCTGACAGGTCATTGAACTATGATAAAATAAAAAAATAATAAGTAAATTCCTTTCTTTTTTCACTTACGAATATGTAAAGTAAGGAAGAATATTGAATATTGCACCCTTAACACAAGTTTGAATCGTTTTACTACATAAGCAGCGTTTCCAGTTAATTCCTACTTATATAAAATAAATGCGAAAGTAAATCTGTCTGTCTGTCTGTGTACCAAATTTCATTAAATTCAGTTTAGTAAACCACTAACATAGAGTTGACCTTGAAAAAGAACATAGGATAGTTTTTATCCCAGACTTTTGAAAATTTCTCTTGGAAACGGGATATAACCAAACTCGAAACGGGCGAAGCCGAGGGCGGAAAGCTAGTAAATCATAAACCTTTGCACATGACAATATAAAAAGTATATTAAATAGTGAAAAACTATCAACTCTCCGTATTTTGTACGAAGTAAAACTCGTGGTAAGGTCACTGACCCAAATGTTATTTTTAGTGTACAATTTATTTACATTATAAACTATATGCGATGACGGATTTTAATACAACGAAATGCAGGCGGAAATAATTTATAGCAACTAATATTATAAAGGTGAAAGATTTTTTGGATGGTTATAAGTGTGGATGTGAATAATCTTGTTTGCATATTATCTCCTAAACAGATTTTGATGAAACAGAAAAAATAGATTAAAATATAGACGATTATTTAATGGAATGGCGCTATATAATATGTAATATAATGGCATTGCCCGTTAGTAATTAGCATAAAATTGATTTTTCCTTCAGGTTGTACTTCTATTTGAAATCAATTCGAAAATTTGAATGGCAAATAGTAATAATATTCAATTAATTCCACTTAATATAAATATAGAGCTATATTTTTTGAAAATACACAAAAAAATCTTTCCAGAGAGCTATAGCAGTACACTCGTCCATTTTTCATTTTTTTTGGCTTCGATTGAATAATATGATATTACCATTTTAAAACTATTATGATGGGGTCCATTCCATTAAAATGATGTTAAAATTGCATAGAGGCCAACACACTACAATGACAAGATTAACGAGAGTTAGGAGAAACAAAACCAGCCTACAGTATGGAAAAAAGCCCTTTATACGTTTAACTATATCGTATTTTCAAACAAACAGACAGTTTTTTATTGATAATCTTCGCATTTCATAATATCGATGTACGAAAACCTGCAAACTGTCTGTTTTTTGTTTAACAATACACACTCATGGTAAAGTCACTTAGGAATTTCATAACAGTATTAGGCGTATATTTAAAAAAGAACATGTCATATTTAATATTATGACTATTTTTAGTTAGACTAGACTAATATTCAGTTTTATGTTTATGTTTATTATTTACCATTCTTATGTTTTGCTCTGATAAATGGGAAATCCAAGGGAAAGAGTTTATCACTATTGCTTATATATTATATATGTATATACGTTAATATTTTGAGTTATATATGTATAATGATATTATTATACCTCTGTATAAAATTTTATAGCAACTAGATAAGTGCATTCCGTATTAAATCTTAGATGACTAACAGTTTCCTCTCGTACTGATAAGCTCATGATAGCTCATGATTTATTGAGGACGTGGTCTTAACGGGATTTGCTACAGGATTATATTTGTATGTACACAACAAACATTGTGTGAGTTTAGAAGAAAAAGTGGAACATTACAATACACATACATACTAAAACAAAAAAACAGCTTCAATTTTACCAAATATCAGTCGTATGGCTAACAATTCATATAGTATTATTTGAAATTTTAACATCTCTCTATATATATAAAAACTACAATAGCATTAGACAAATACTACACATTCAAACGAGAAGCATTCTCACCCAAAGAAATTAAACACACTATAAAAATAAATAGGTACATACATGTGTTATAAAAACAAAAGTATGCAAACAAATAAATGCATCAGAAACAAAGCAAACACAAGTCGGAATTGAACAAATGTGACAAAGGGTTCGTTTGTTATGAGAACCCTACATCATGTGTAGTGCGACCTGGCTTTGTTTACTTTTGTTTTTTAAGAAAAATTTCAACCTCACAACGAACGTATTATTAGCTTTGCTCCGAACGAACAAATGACTCAGATGCATCGGAATGATACCCAGGAGAAGAACAAGCCAAAATAAAAGATCTCTGTATGCTATAATAGTTATTAATTCAAGAGATTTATCAAACATATTATATATATACATATGTATTTTTTTTGACTTTTCTTCAAGAAAATTTTACAATAGGAACGCGTTAAAGAGTATTCTTCATGTTTATACCTATGCAAGATTTT